TTGTTGTCCAGTCGACCCAGAAATCACTCGGCCAGCCTCCCGTTCATAAACCCAAAACACTCTGACATGTCAGGCCTCCTAAATTATACACATAAAAATGACGTGACGACCAGAAGGTTCTGCCTCCAAACAGGTCAGGGTTCTTTTAAATACGGTTTAAAGTTTCCAAGCAGCAGCTGTTTGATAAATTCTGGTCTGTTAAAATTTAAAAAGATAAAAAAAGTTGTATGGGCTTCCCCTGCTTCCTGGAAAAGGAGGGAATCACCATGGCAACCGGTGACTCAGCATTTTCTGCCTCTTCTATTCAGGGATAAAATTCCATAATGGCCGCCCTCATAAATATTTATAGCATCTGAAATAACCCCACATCTGATTAGGAAAAAACTTCAAAATAAGAGCCTGTCTCTGTCATCAGCTAATTAAATTGGTGTCAAGTTCCAAAAGGGTCAAAAAATAAAGCTGAGTTAACATTTTCTCATTTCGTTTTCCTGTCAAATTCATCTGCTATTCCTATCTTTTTTTATTTTCTCTCGTCTTCTCTGACCCAGAATGTGGCCTTTAGAGTATAAATAACCTCATAGAAGTAATTATCCAATCTGCTGGTAATTGGAGGCTTCGCCCCATTTTCTGATAATACAGCCGATCTATTTGCATCCTGTTATTTTTAATATAATCCACTTACATCACACCCACTGTAATTTAAAGACATCGGTAGAGAAACACTTAATGTAAGGACCATAAAAGCCCAATTATTTAAGCCAATTAATTGAATTATTGGGAACACTGAGTGAGCTGCCAGAAACAGCCACACATCTAAATGTAAATTTGGCTCCAGCAGTAATCCAGCAGCCATTACGTTCCCTCAGTATTGACGGCTGTGGACAGAAGAGCTGAACCGACTGAACTGAAGCTGGTGCTGATGATGTGCTGTTGTCAAGGTAACAGCAGGCTCCTCCAGGTGAGAAACGGTCCCAAAAAATGTCTACTTTTTTCAATTCATTTAAAAATTGAGGGGAATCTTCCTGCTAGTTAGGAAGATGAGCTGCAGGTGGATGTGAAGAGTCGTTTCTTTGCATTGAGTTGAGGATTAATTATAAAGGGAGCTTATTTAAAGCATTTATTCCTGTTTATTTTTACGATAACACATCAAACCAATAAAAAAATCAGAACGTATTGAAGGAAAGTGAAGTGGAAGAAAAAAGTCCAACTGTTGCATCCTTTGTGTTTCTAGTCATTCCTGAATCAGAGATGTTAGAAGCATCCAGAGTCTGGATACAGACTCCAGTTGTTCTGGTCATGTTGTGTCGTACAGATTCTTTATTATTCTTCACAAGGAGCATCAGCCACAGAAAGACATTCCTAAAGACACTGAGCGCCCTGTGTTTGTTTCAGTAAACCGGATGATGCTGCAGTATTTAGTCTGTTCCAGCTCTTTCTGCTGCCCGTGTGTTTACTGTGAGGAAACCTCACTTCATTAAGTCTGAGTAATTCTTCATTGGGAACCACTTCTCTCCCTAATTCCAGTATTTGCTTATCAGTCGCCATGTTTGCATGGATGGACTTCCTCTGTGCAGGTACTGCTCCCTGATTGGTCGACAGGCCCGCACCTGTGAGGTCGATCAGGTTTGTCTGTCGGCTTTTATCAGCTGTGGAAGGAAAAATGTCATCGCTGTCAGAAGAACGGAGCGGAAATGGAGAGCAGGTCAGATTTACAGATCTGGGTCTGATTCAGAGATCGCATCATCGCCGCAACTTTGAACTTTCTCTGCACTGGGCCTGAAATTAAGAGGGGATCATAGGAGTGCATTTCTGTATCACTCTGTTGTATTGAAAATAAAAGAAGTCCTGAAACTGCGTTGTTGTGGGAATGAAAGCAGTTCTCCTTGTCTGGCAGTCGGATTTGTGCAGGAGGAAACAAGAGAAGCAGCTTTTAGAGTCCAGTCTGGCTGAATCGTGTTGCTTCTGAACAAACCTTACCCCCCACAGAGAGGCTGAACTGGGAACGGAGGGGAAACGGAGAAACAGGAATGTGAATCGTTGCTCCTCTGAGTTTTTTACTGTAAGAAAAGAGTGAATCAGTTTCAGGTGAGCTGAAGGCTCTGATTGCGGCTCTGCAGGTTTCTGTTGCTCAAACATTAGTGAGTCAGATGTTTAGTGTTAGTGCTCATAGCGCCACCTAGTGCTACGTTTTAGTGATCCAGACGCTTCTCCTCTGGATGTGTTGTTAAATTGGGAGCATCTGTTTTTGCCCCCCAACTATTTACACCATTGGTTTTGGAAGAAATTCCTCCATTATATTTTTTAAGCAAAACATAAAACCAGCTATTAAACCAAACCCCCCACAGGAACATTTTGTTTCCACTGAAACCACATTGTTAAAGCGATAAAAATGCCACACAATAACATGGCAAATTACCATGAACTACTCGCACATGAACACAGTGGTGGTGGCATCATGCATGACAGTCAGAGCTCATGTTCTGATGGAGCCTAAAGCACCAACCCAACCTGCTGTCCACACCTTGTGAATCTCTCCCTTTCTTCAATACTTTTCCTTCCACTCAACTTTCTGTTGTTAGACGCAGGCGCAGCTTCTTCAGCTGTAACCTGTTGTGACTGCAGGTGTCAGTGACTCTCTGGTAGAGAACGGAAAAGTCACCAATGATCCTTGTGACATAACATTTCCCCGTTAAAAGGCAGAGTTTGTTTTCAGTGTTCAGCTCTGAGGACTGTTTTGATTTGGAAACTTTTTTTTGGAAAGTTCATTTATTGTGATGCATTTTTATGTCTTGGCCAAAAGTTAGTTGATGCAATGCTTGTTGTAGTTTGATGCACCTTTACCTGGACATTCAGCCTAACAGACCATGATGTTAAAAGCTAATAATTGTGAAAGTTTGAGGTGACTGATTGTCCAGATGACCCAACATGCCTCACTGTGAGGAACAGCAGCTGTGAAGATGTGAAGCTCTCCAGCGGAGCTTCTGTCAGCAGGATTTGAACCCGGTTTCCTGAAGTGAAGCTGCACAGCGTGAATGTTTCTGAAAATGTGGCCCCAGACAGATTATCTTGTACAAGGTTGGTTGTGGGTTCAGACGTGCAGAGAGAGAAATGACACACACTCCGTGCCGTTTCTGACGTTTTCAGTGCGTTGGCTGTGGTTTGGCTGCATCCAGGGTCGGGCCTCCGATGAACAGACTCCATTGTTGCTCCCCATGAGAAAGGCAAACCATTCTTTCCACTTTCCATTTCAGCTCTTGTGTCTATTTTTTTGTTTCATGTTGGGGAGCTCTCCCCTTTTTTCCAGCAGTTTTAGAAAACCATAAAGGCCAACATGTTTTTCATTAGTGTTCTTGAGAAACCAGCCATTGGTGGGTTGGTGTTGGTTTCACTGGGAGTAAAACTCCACTGTTTAGAGGGAACTAAACATCCGAGAGTAGTAACTGTTATTTTTGATTAATGACTAAAGCTGTTTCTACATTATTGTTAATTATAGGGGTGTAACCTAACATAAAAAGCAGGGTTTGGTTCGCTTCAATAAATTAACATTGGACACTATAAAACTAAACTAACTGGATTAATTTTCTTTAATTAATGACAGATTGGTGGGTGTAGCCAACGGACTGATGGTTAGAATAAACATCATTATATTTACATTGAACATGTTGTTGATCAGGATTTGTTGATTAAGAAAGACTGCAGACATTTCAATCTGGAAAGACTCAGATGGAGAAAAAGAAAAAATTAAAAGATTTAACGACAGGAATGAGTAACAGTTCTTTGGCGCTCGGGCCCCGGCAGCTGATCTGAGCTGAGATTTGATGTGAACTCGATGAACATCCCGATAACCGATTAGGGATGCTCTCCCCTGAGACCCGATACTGGTGGTGCAGGTCGGGAAGGGTTCCATCCTGGAGAGCCGAAGGTTGTGGGTGGAGAAGGTGGGGTGGTGGGTTGAACGCAGCAGCTTGGGTGTGGATCCTTTTATGCAGAGCTTGACTGATGATTGGACGCGCCGGGTGACGTCCAGCGCTGATGTCGGAGATGAGCATGACGCCTATGGGCGAACGGAGGGGGCGGAGTCTTCCAGCTTGAACTTTCGCTATTAGCTCCATTTGTGAGTGAAAAGTTTTAAAATGGTTGGCTGATGCTTTGACATAATCCAAGTTACCAGATGTACCTGTGAGCTTCATTAAAGTGCAGCTGCTGAGAAATCCTGTCTGACCAGAGAGACTCCTCACCAGTTTCTGTCTTGGTTGTCCTCTTCCATTTATTGACATGTGAATTTGTATATTATCTAAATAGTTAGTTTTGCCTTTATAATTTGCCTTTATTCACACGGTGGAAACCATCTCAGTCTTTTCCCTGTTGAGAAACGTCAACATGTCTATGAACTGCAGTAAATATGTGGCGTCATGGCAAATGGAAATAATAAAGACTTCTGCTTCTATCCCAAATCCAATCCCCCTGGATTATTTTTGTTGCTCTTCTCCGTTCAGAGATTATAGCGCTGGGGAACAAAAAATATGTTTGGAAGTTGTCTATGTTTTATTTTTTATCTGTATTATGACTATTTTGCACCACTGAATCCAAAAATTACATCTGTTTTTCTCAGTCAGGTCAGGTTTTTATTCTAATTTGATTTGGAGAAATCTAATCTTCTGAGTAAATTTATTACATTTTTGTAACATTATCAGTTCATTTCCGTTAATATTTCTCATCCAAAAAAGGTTTTAGGAGAAAAAAGATATTTTCTAGCAAACTATATTAATTAAATGTTATTTCTGTAAATTGACTAATAAACACTGATACTGGTACATGTGAATTGAACATTACGACTTCATTGTGAAAATCCCCCCGTCTCTTTCCTGTCCGGATGGAGTCTGTCCTCCTGCTCGTCACTCATTGATCAGATTGTCAGGAAACTGAACCAACGTGAGAACAAGTCCTGCATTTTGATGCTTATGTTGCTCCATAGTTCAGAAAGTTGACCTGATGGAGGAAAACCAATGTGATTTTTGGATTCAGCTCATCAAAATTACCCTAAAACAGTTGAAAAACCACAGACATTTTTTGGCTGTTGATCTGTGTAATCAATCTTCTATCGATTGATTATATAACTTCTCTTTGGCTGCTGAACTTTTTTTAACAGAACAACATCTCCCAGTGTGGGCGCGTTTTCTCCTGATTGTAGGAAAAAACTTCTAAACAATCTTTCTTGAGTTTCTTGCTCAACTCTTGAGAAAATACTTCGTTTGTTGCATGGATCTATGAAGTCCTTCTTGGAAACTTTTCTTCATTCACTCCCTTTGCTGCTGATCCAGCCTGATAACTTTACCTAACTGAAGTCGGTGTTTGCCTCGTCTCTCGTTGTTGTTCTGGTCTCCTTTCCGTCCCGTCTTCCTTTGTCCTGTCCTATTGTTATCAGTCATGTAACTGGAGGTTTGACTCACTGGCTTTATCCCACCATCTGCTCCAGTTCTGGGCTGCAGCTCCATAAACTGTAACGTGGTGCTGACTGAGGCCCAGGGCGACTTCACGTCACCCTGCTACCCCCAGAAATACCCCAACTCTCACACCTGTAAGTGGACCATGCAAGCGCCGACCGGCTTCATCATCCAACTCTCCTTCTTGGACTTTGAATTGGAAGAGGCACAGGACTGCATGTATGACCGGGTCGTGGTGAACACCGGTAGCACTGAGTCAAAGTTTTGTGGTCTGACGGCCCGAGGTTTGACACTAAACTCAACAAGGAACGTGATGGAGGTTTCTTTCATCTCTGACTTCAGCATACAGAAGAAGGGCTTCACGGTTAGCTTCCAACACGGTAGGTTCTAGCTATGACTTGCAAACTAATCCAGGTGGAAAAGCCCCTCATGCATCAGACAGGAGCTGTAGGATTGGTTGATATGTTGATTTCTTTAAGATGCCTCATAGGAGGTTTGTTTTCAGCCACTATCATAAGAGTTGACTGGCAGATAACCACATAAAAATGTTCATCAACTGATATGGCCAGATTATGATGTACTTTGTTGAGGTTGATGTGTTAAGTCTTTAGTTGTTTATTGATCCCATTTTTATGCATGTTTGAATAAGTTTAAAACAATCAGCATTTTACTGTCTTTGCTTTCTGTCTCTGCTTCTTCCATCTCTCCCTCCAGTCGCAGTGGCTTTGAGGAACCAAAAGGTGAAAATCCCAAATGGTAACGGACAAATCGCAGAGGTCATCAACTCCGTTTCCATACCGGCGCTCAATGAATTGACCATATGCTTTGAGGTGGAAAGAACAGGCTCCAGACAGGTGCTGGTTTAAAAGTTTTTTCCTGCATTTTCACCATTTTGATGTTTTAAGTGTGTGGGGATACGTCAACATCAAACCTCCATCCCTGTGTCTCCTGCTCTGCTGTAACCAGATGTCATAAAGAGAGCACCATGCCTCTGCAGACAGACTCCTGCTTGGACGACAACTTTATGATTTCCATCCAGTCGTTTTTAGCATCTCTACATGTTTTGCAAAGAATTGCACAAATGTATATAATTCCTCTTTTACCAAGATGAAACTAATTTTTGTCGTGTCTACATCAATGAAAGACAATTCTGACACTTCAGATGAAGTAAGGCAGAGCCTTTACTCAATCATTTCCTGCCATATGGGTAGATGAAGTCAGTGACATTTAGGGCAGATGTGGCTCAGGAGACATGAGGTACATCTTGTATCCAGTGGTTTGTCTATTCAAAATTCCCATTTGCTGTGGTTATAATAACCAAGGCTTCCAGTAATATTACAGAATCCCTGAGCTGGTTCTTTCTTGGGAATCATTATTCATCAACAGCTGATTAAATGGGCAAGACATCATGAAAGGAGACCTTTGTCAAGTTGTGCTTTTAAACTGTCTTATTCCTGTGTTGCTTTCAACTTACTCCCAGTTCTTCTGGTTCCTGAACAGAAAGAATGGCTCTTCACCTACTACGACATCAACAACAACGTGGCGTTAAGCTTTGGCTACAATCAGACGGGCATGGAAATGGTTATTGACGGAGTGGTCTGCCCAGTAGAGTCGATCATCTCTGTGGCTGAGTTCACCTCTTCCATGAAGTTCTTCTGTGTCCTCTGGATGTCCTCCAACAGTCGTGTGGCTGCTTACTTCAATAGGCGCTACTATGGGAAGAGCTGCTCGCCATCTAGTGGCCACTCTGTGCCAGCTGGAGGAGTCTTCAAATTAGGAGGTAAGGGGCCTTTACTTGTTAATCTAACAGTCTCTATGCAGTAATTAGCATGGTGGACTTCTTGGTCAAAATGACAGAGTCTGTAGTAACACTTGATAAATCTGATGAAAAAGTTAATAAAATCAAAATCCTTGTAAAAGATTCCAGATGATTCAATTAGAAAAGACTGATAAACTGGCTCCATGCATTGTTTGAATTCCCCACATGAAGATAGGTTAGGTAATTACACACAAACTTTGTGTCAATGAACCATTTTTGTGGTAATTTGTTGGCTCATTGCCTTGCTAAGATCCAAAAATGGCCCATTTTCAGCTATGTCCTGTTAATGATGTCACTAGATCCTTAGGAAGAGAAACCAGCCACATGACAGATTCTCCAATGTAATTAAGCATGAGGTGCTTTAATGTCTATTCATCCTTTGGTTCACTCCTTGAATGTTGCTAAAGAAAAGCTTAATCTTAGTTTAATTTCCACAATGGACGAGTTTCTAATATAAAACCTGATGTCCATGTTTGTGATGGTAGGGCAGACAAAGATTTCCTGCCACAGATCTTAAACAAGCAGTTGGCATGTTGCTTTGAAGATATTTTATTTATCAGGGTGAACATATACCTGGTCCATGTTCTCCTTCTCATTTTGGAGACTTTCTGACAGTTCTTGGTGTAAAAACCATCCAGGCTGATGATCATTTAAAAACGTAGAAAGTTGTAAAGCAAACATGATGTTCACTTTGAACTGTGTGCATTCGGTCCAGGCTTAGGGGTGCAGAGTTTCAAAGGGAACATGTACAACCTGCGCCTGTGGAACCGAGCCATGACGGTCCAGGAGCTGAGCGGCTTGACCTGCGACATGGTGGGGAACGTCATCGACTGGGACAACAGCCAGTGGACCATCTCGTCCTCTCTTGCTCAGACTGACAACACACTTAGCTGCAGTGAGTAAACTTTATCATCTTCATCTGGTTTTGGATGGTGGGCATGACAACGCTAAAAAGTAGCTAAAGATGAATGTCAAGAGCTGTGTGTTAGGTTTGAAGTAAATCACATTCATTTTTAAATATAAATATCAACAATAGCTGGTAGGGATTGCTCAGTATAACTACAACTAAACTGTTAAAGTGGACTTGTGCAATAAAAGACTTGATTTGAACCTGATCAAACTGGGCCCTAAAAGGATTGTGTGTTAACTTGTACTTTGGAGAAATGACTTGCAAACATCTCTGGTGATGGGGAGCCCACCACATGGAGAGCTGCTCTGTAAAAACTATGTTGTATTGAAAACAATATTGACCTTTGAGTGGCAGAACCTTCTAATGGCTTCATATTTTTGTGCATCTGCTGTATTTTTATGCAGAACATAGATGCCCAAATTTGGTCCTCCAGAGCTACTTTTGCACTATGTTTGGATTCCTTGACCAAAAATAAACGGCTGAAGGGGTCAAATGTCAATTCCTTCAGGCAAAGTCCAACTTCCTCTGAGCCATGGAGCTGCACAAATTATCAGGCCTTGTAAACAAAATCATATAGTCTATCAACATATTTTCAGTTTCTTCTATTTGATGATTTTCTTAACACAGAGCAATTTTATATGAGAAACTGGAGCACAGTATTTAAGACTTCCCAATGCAGTGAGAGGAGCAGTGGACCTTTACATGCAGAATGTCTTATAGAATAACAAGCAAGAGAAAATGGACTGTGAGCCAAACAGGAGACAACATGGAAGTAATGGTTCAACCTTGAGGCAGGATCCAAAGCGATGTGGTATCAGGTCAATCACCAGGTCCAAATGCAGAACATTGGATTGTATCAAACAGGAACTCAAAGTGTTAAACTATTCAGGCTGTTGGATATTCTGCCAAATCCTGCTACATTCTGCCTTCAGATGGTGAGTTAATGGTTTCCAGTAAGCTGGCTGGCTGAGGACCAGACTTCACTTTGAGTCTGGGTTTGTTTGGCTCAGTTGGAGAAGTTCTCCCACAGTTCCCAACATGAACTATGGAGCGGTTCAAGGGGGACACGGTGTGCTGATTTATTCACTCTTTCACTGTATTCTGTACCCACAGTAGCAGTAAAATGTATTATGCACACAGACACATCCAGAGAAGCACTTGTACAAGCCAAGGTGTGGGTTTATAGAGAACTGTGAATGAGTGTGGAGCCTCAGTGGGCTTTTTCTCCAGCCAGCTGTGTATGCAGGAAAGAACGGGGCTCCGTGTTTATGGAGCAGTTCTGGACGTCTCCATCGTGAGATTCTACATTGTCCTGCACACCCTTTAACTTTCATTTAAATACAGGAAAACACCAGAATATACAAGCAAACTTGAAGGTAATTTTCTCCTAACTTCCACATGTTTGTAATTTCACAAGGTGCTGACAGAGCTTCATTCCTCGGGTTCCCAAATCACCCTCTGCTTGTTCTGGTTTTCCTCGTGCCCTCCACCCAGCTGGCTTGTTTGAGCTGTTAAAGCTCTGCTAGCATCTGATTTAACTCTTCATGTTTGACCTGTCCATGCTGTTAGTTAATGGGGAGCACAGGTTGTTGTCCAGGCAAGTTTTTATGTTTTTTACTTGAGGACACGCCTCTGATCTTGACTCTAGACGTCGTATCAGGTCAGTTGTTCTGATTTATTGTTTCCTTCTTTCCCTCCCTCCCTCCTTCCTTGTTTGCTTCCTTTTTTCATTTTCTAGTTTTCCTTCCTTCCCTGCTCGCTTCTCTCCTTTCTTGCTAGTTTCCTTTCTTCCTTCCTTTCTCTCCTACTTTGCTCATTTCTAACTTTCTTCTGTACATTTTTTTTCTTGCCTCATTGCCTGTTGAGGTAATTGCCTATTTTATTTTTTTTTTTACCTTTGTCTTTGTTTCCCTTATTTCTTCCCATTTTTTATTTCTTATTTCTCTGCTTTCTTCATTATTTTCTTTCTTTCTTACATCTTTAATTCCATATCAGAAAATTGCCGTTTTCTGTCTTTGGGTCTGGACATTTGTAAAAGAAACAAAGTAAAAGCATTTGCTTCTTAAAGAAATAAATTACAGCAACTGAGTGAAATGTTTTCCATGGTTTGTCCCTAAAACGACTGCAGCAGAACCGGGTCCTTCAGTTCTGCTGCCTAAGCAAAGTTCTGGTCCTTGAGGTTGAAATGTGCAGCGATCTTTGCACCAGTTATTAAGGACTTAATGAGGCTTTGGATGCAGGATTAACTGATGACACCAACCACTACCAACACATCCAACCCTGTGGTTTTGCACCATCAACCAACTGGTGAAATGGACGATAATTTGATCCCAGTTGTCTTGTTTAGATCACAGTTCTGGTGGTTTTTCAGCTATTTCCAGCATAGATCTAAAAAAAACTTGATTACTGTAAAAAAAAAAAAGTAGCTGCTATAAATTTCTAGAAAAACAAATAAAAATAGATATTCTGTGAAGTTCTGCTTTGGTTTTAGAATGAAAATAAATATTGGTACTCTTTAAATGAGGTTCATTATTAAATTTATTATGCTGTTGATTGTTTTACCTGATGCCCACTAACCTTTTCTTCTTTTCACAGTCTGCTACCCTCATTGCATTCATTTAACTGCTGCTGCGCCCACTAGTGGTGAGTGCTGCTAACACGCTTCTAATATGCAAAGCTTGTGCTAACAGAGCTTTAATGCATGGAGAAGAATGGAGGAACCAGTGATTTTGGTCCTGTATATGTCAGTCTGAAAATGTTTGTTACCAGCGATAGCACAAAACTCATTCACTAACATCATGCGCTGAGATTAAACCTTTCGCTTTTAGCTGTGGGAGTCTCAGATTATGGAAATTAATAAAACTCTTCTTGGAGCTGCTGGGGGGAAACGGCGTTAAGATGCAGGAAAATAGTTTTACTTTAACACATCCAGGTCAAACGGAGAGCAGTTCCAGAACCATATGAACATGAAGCCGGGTCCGGATCACTGAGAGGCGAACAAACGGACAAAATTAGTATCAGAGTTTAATTTAACAGATCATCACAAGTTGCTACATAACGGGAAGGTGGAATGATAAATAAAATTCAATGTTTTTCACATATTGTTTCAAATCTGAAAAGTGTGGCATGTGTTACTATTCATTCCCTGGTCCATTGCTTTGGAGAGTCTGCATGTCTCTCTGTATTAAACGTACAGACTGAATTTACCACCTTCCTAAAAAAATAAAGACATGGAGAAAATGTTTAAATATCTTATTAGTGAAATAAACTTCCAGTAAAATTCTTAATTTTTTTAAATCAATATTAAGGATTTATTTGCTTAAAACAAAATCCAATATTTTGCTGAATAGTTTACTTGTGAGTTAGATTTGTCTTATTTCAAGTATAAGATATTTGACCAAAGCACTTGGTAAGATTTTGTGTTTTTACAGTGTAGAGATGGAAAATGTAGAGAAACACAAACCTGCTTCCTCAGAAACACACAGTTTTGTTCCCCTGAAAAAATGTAAAACATTCTGTTTTTCGTTTCTGGTCTTTACTCATGATGGACTTAAAAAGTCTTAAATTTGAGTTGATGAAAGCCTGATGAAAGTTTTCTGACAGATCTGGTTAATGTGTAATAATTCATGATTTAACATTTCACTTTGGACCAGGTTGCTTTGGACAGATTATCATCTTAAATCAGATTTTTCCGTTTACTCGGGTTGTGGACAGTCAGTGGCCTCTGCGTCTTTCTGCCTTTTTGATACAGACTCTCCTTTAGCCTGGCTCAGCAGAAAAGCCTCCTCTGAACAGCTTCAGATGATTTGACGAGCACCTGTCAGGCTGCGTTTGCTGCAGCTCCCTGTTTGCAGTGTCAGTCAGAGCGTCAGGCTGACGCACAGCCTCGGTACATCCACCCTGCGGTTGTCACGGCAGCACCAGGAGGCTGTCAGTCAGCCGCTCTGCTGCTGTCAGGCCCTTCAAGACGGTTCCTGATCTCCATATCTGATGGAAATCTGAAGGTCATCTCTGAGCAGAGGTGGAGCTGTGCTCATTGGATATTTATGAGGTAGCCACAGAAGGAGCAACTAGTTCACTGTTTGATTTTTTACAAAGATACAATCAGCTTTAGTTCACATCAGCAGTGAGAACTCTGCTTTCTTTCCATCGACGTTGGACTGACTTGAATCATTTAAATCCAGAGTTTTACTGGAACACAATTCAGATGAAAACCTCCACTAGTATAGAGAACTATAATGAGAGGATGAGCAGAAATCCTAATTAATAAGACAATCTTAGAGTAACTGGAGAGCCATTTCATTCAAAAAGTAATAATTGTTGATGAATATTTAATAAATGTCCACATGAAATAAAAGCAAAATAGATATAATGGGAAGCTTGTTTTTTCAACTTCATTTTTTTCAAGATTTGCTGATTATTTCTGGATTATATAATCTTTTACTTATTAATATCATAATTGTTTAATTTATGACAATTTTATTTTGTAAAACTAATTTATTTTTGTAAATAAAGGTGGTAGGAGAGTCATAATTCACAGTGAAACACGTGGCCTGAAAATGTAGCCACTGGGACAAAATTATAGGAGTTTTGTGCAAACATTTGCTAAAAAATGTTAGCACTGCTAACCCTAAAGCACTAATCACAAACATTAGTTCCCCTAATGCTAAACCAGCTTGGTATTTAGCAGAAGCTAATTCTAAAGCACTAACAGCGCTAACTTTAACCATGTCAATAATGCAATAAGTGCTACAGATTTGTCATTACTCACCTACCTGAACAATTTCACTTCAAGACATGAGGAGAGGAAATGGAGCTTCGTCTTCAAAATAAAAGCATGGATATAAACATCTAACTTCTTGAAGAATTCTTCGCAGTCGATAAAACTTCAACACAACTAAAAGTTTACAAAACATCCAGGTGAATTAGCACTTTAGAACGTAAGCAGATAAATTAGTTAGGGAAGCTAAGGGCACTTAATGTTTTCAAAGTTAGCTAAAGCGTGAAATGAGAAAATTAACTATTAGTTTTATAAAGCAAGTCTAAGCTACACTGAGGATCTAGATGGAATAATGTGAACATGAAAAAGGAAAGAAAAGCCTCTAAAAAGAGTTTAGCATTTTAATGTTATTTAACGAATGTGAATATTTGTTCATATCCTGACGGACCTGAACTAAAGCAGATAACAGCTGTTACTGCTGTTAAAACGTTTAGAAAATAAAATAAATTGATAATTAGAACATTGACAAAAAAAATACTGTTACTTTATCTTTGTATATGTGATCAAAATCCCCAAAATGATTGCAGTTTCATCCTGCTTGCATTCTGTCCCCTTTTTTAAGCCTCTGCTATTGTTCCTCTGATATTTCTCGGCTGTTGTAAATCATCTCCTGCATAGACCCCGGAGCTCTGAGCTGTGAAACGGCTCCCTGGACAAGGAGAGTTTGTGAAAATCAAAGTCAGATCCTCTGTTTTCATCTGGAGTCCCTGTAAATGGATTGTTTGGTCATCTCAGACAGGATCAGAGCGGAGAGTTACGGTCCGCTTTGAAGCTGGTGGTGTTGGTCAGGTAATCTCCCAGCGTCAGACTTTATAACTCTGTCATTTTCAGTTTGGCTGTGATGGAGGTTTTATAGCTGCTGCTGCTGGCCGGCCTCCTGTTTTTCTCCAACTCTGAGCTCTGAGGTCATCAACTGTATTAAATAAAAGCAGCTGTGACTCTTTGCTGATGTTGTTGTTACACTAACAAACCTCAAACCCGCCATACCTCAGTATTAACACAAAACAAGGATAAATGCTGGTGATCAGTGACAAGTTTTATCAATTATTGTTATTAATTACCGCTGCATAGCTAACATTTCGAGTGATTCCTCTGAGTTTAACACAAAATGCCACTTTTCTCATGGTTGAGGAATCTTGGCTTTTTTGGCCTTCAGTTCAGGTCTGTGGAGCTTATTAAAAATGGCCGGGTCCAATCAGAACCAATTTTCATGGCTTGTGTTGAACGCGGGGTCCTGTAAAGATGCATTTCCTCCCTGCCTGCACTTCTACACAGGTTTTTATGGTTGTTTCAACTTCATGGTGCATTTAAATCTAATTGTACTCCCAATTATCTATATTGAAATACAGCAGCCCCCAGTACACCAGGGTTTATGGACCACAAACATCTGCAAATACTTGATACTCCCTCTGAAAACATTTAAAACTGTTTTTCTTAGTAGTTCAGACACTTAATACACTTTAATATGCCTTAATACTCACTGTGTAAACCAACGCCATTAATGTTAATATCAACATTCTCCCTTATCTCCTCCTTTGGGGGTTACAGCCAATCAGCACCAAGGAAAATAAAAGGTACTATAAGATGCTGCTTTCCAAACACCAGCCAATAGCATCAAGTTGCTTTGGCAAGTCAGCCAAAGGAATCTGCAAAGATGTAAATGTTCTGCAAATCATTTTCAACAGAAAACTACATGAATATGTGAGGATCTGCTGCAACTTTAAAATAAATTTAGATTTGGTATCATCACCAAAATTGCAGGACTATAACATCCAAATAGCTTCACTAAAATTCATGAAATGCCCCAGTCATGTCTATATGGGCACTTGAAGTGCAGAAATGCAACAATATTTAAATTTGACCATAAAATGTCAAAACAGTTTTAATTTGAACGCCTGTAGGAAGCAGTGTGACTCTGTAGGCATTTATTACGGTCATTAAAATCCTTATCGTTCATCTTATTTTGTTCCAGGTGTGTTTTAGGTTTATATATGTTTAGTCTGCTTTAATCAAACTTTAGTTCTAATTCAAGTTCTACGCAACTCTAGTTGCAGATCTAGACTAGAACTACAGTTGCCTAGAACTTGAATTCTAGGCAGCCAAGCTGTGGGTGTGAATATGAAACCAAACTTTGAGGACCAAAACAGCAAACTCTGGTCTGCCTATAAATCTAGGTGTCGGTTCGGTTTGAAGTGAACTCTGAATGCAGATGTGAACGCCAAGTGGACCGGAGAAAGCAGGAAGCAGACTATAGCGCAGGGCATTCTGGGTAAATAGAAACGTGTGAGTCTAGCACTAGCAGGAGAAATGGATTGTGATATTTTACCAAAGACAAAAGAGAAATCCTACAGCCTCTAAAATCTGATACTACTCCATTTGTGTTTACATGTGTGTCTTCTTCAGAGGTTTTCATGTCGTTTGCTTCAGTGGTTGTTGGTGCAGCGCCCCCACAGGAGAGAAGGTGAACAGGTTTTTGATTTAGCCTGGTTGGTTTGACTCAGAGCAGTGGTAAAGCGAAACGAACCACAATGGAAATGTAATGCGATCATCATGTGTAAACAGCCTTAGTGTCTCCTCTGATTTGTTTTGACCAGAATCAGGAACTAAAGAGTAACTGAATAAGAACCTTTAATAGATTTTCACTTTTTTTTCTTACATTAGACACTGTAGAGTTATTATTGGATGGGATTTCATTTGTTGAAATGTGCCTCAGCTTTACAGTTTATATAAACCTGATTTATATAAGGCTGGTATAATTGGTTGTGGGTTGGATCATTTTATATACAACTGTAATTCCAAGAAAACAGGTCTTGTCTCCTTTTTTTTATTAAAAATCAGCAGGCAGGATAGTTTTGTGCTCATAGCAACTTGCTTTGACAACCATCCAATGACGAAACTGTCTACCTCTGAAAAAGTCTCAACTCTGTGCGGCTGCCTGTCCTCCTACTGACGTTTCTGTGGATGTAGCGCCCGATGTGTGGGCTGCAGCTGCATTAAAATTCAGAAAGCTAAGGAACAAGAGGAGCCCAGAGTTTGGTCTCCATGCTGCTCCTGTGAGAAAAGAAAAAAGTTTGAGTTTGTTCTTTGCCACAAACTTTAAAAGTGGTGTAGAGTTTCATAGTATTTGCTCAGATATTCCCTGATCTGCCCTCCTGCATGTTCAGATAACCTTGATGTCACCACAATAAGCTCTAGGAGGGACTGATGCTTGATAAAATCAGTACTGATATTTGATCATAGTTTTTCTAACATACTGGGTCAATAACTGAAACTGGGCTGATATGAACAACCGACGTTTATTTCTATTTGCTTGTCATCTGTATTTTGCGTTAGCTTAGCGATGTCTGTGCTTCAGTGGAGGTGCACAGTTAAAGGCTGACAGGGCTTTGTAAACTTTTACATCAACTTTATTTATCCATTCTTTAAGTTCAGCTCAGGTGTGGAACAATCACCAACTTATTCTGAACCGTTTGTCCCCTTCAGGTTCCAACCCGGCTACAGGCTGCGACTCGGGCGGACTGGGCTGCTCAGGTAGGAAAACTAAACACACCTCCAATGCCTGTGCTGGAATTAAGAACCTTAAATCTTTATATAACATGTTTTCTAATTTTATTTTACATGGGAAATATATTTTATGCTATTTATTCCTTCATTTGTTTAATCAAAAGGGTTTAATTAAAATGTTTGCTAGATTCTGACTTAAAGGGAAACTTTTTCCTCACATGTTTCACATGAACCAACTTGTCCAAAAGAAGTAAAAATAAATAAATGGCTTAATAAATTAGTTAATGTGGCAAATATTTAATAAATATCATGGTCAACAGTATTCATTTGACATTTTTATGGCTCACATGTGAAAATGTTATCATCTAATAACGTTAAACACTGTGTATGTCACATGTAAAAGTTTTCCAAGAGTTTTAATTGTTTCACATGTGCAACACGTGTTTTCATTGTAATTTCAGGTTACTAAAAAGACACATTTTTTTCTTAATATTCAAGGAGTTTTAAAGTTTTTATGAGTTCACTGTTTGTTCAGATTCATCTGTAGCTGTGTTTATATTTGGGAATTATACAGGAAGTGGATCTCTTGACATTTTTCCAAGAATGTCCTGTATTTTTGAGATGGTCTTTGGTACCATGTTCATCTGAATCAGAGGGATTCAAACCCTCAACCCAAGCAGCTTGAAAATTGCTGAACTTTCCACTGTCTCTGAGAAAAATCCCTCAGCCTGAAATCTGTGAAACATAAACCTCAGATGAACCTTTTTGTCAGGAATGTGATCATCCAGGAAGATGCTGACTGGATTCTGGACGAACCTTTCTAACCTCAACTTTCATGTTGAGCTTCTGCTTTTCCCAAATCACAAACTTTTTCTGGCCTCTGAGTTTTACAACTGCATTCATGCTCCTCTGAGTGGGAGGAAATGCAGTTCAGCCCAAAAATATTCAGACCCCTGCTGATACTGAAGTTTGTTTCTTATTGGAAAAGGATCACAAATCTGTCAAAAAATATTAAAATCTACGTAAAAGTGTTGGGAATTTTCTAAATTCCCAACACTTAATACCAGGAGGAATTAAGAGGTTTGAGCTGAACTGTACTTTCACTTCCAATATTTGCTTTACAAAAACAAGCATTTTGCAGGAACCAATGAGCTTCTGGCGTGATGTTAGTATTTGACTGTGGCAGAAAAAACGTTTGTAAGTTTGACGGCTGGATGGATTTGTTGTTTTGGGTGATGCAGACATCAGCAGGGGTTTATATCTGTTTGTTCTATAATTTAAGTTTTCTGCTGCTGTTTTCACTGCAGTCGCTTGTTATTTTTGCCTCATCATTTTGTACCTTTGCAGTTCTAGTTGTTTCATTTTTGACGTTTTCAGTTGGGAAACGGCGCCACCTTCAGTGCCTCCAAGCACCAAATAAAACCCCCAGGATGACGCTGCTGACTGCTCCTCTTTTCTTTCTGCTGTCTTCTTATGGTTTCTAAAGTTTCATAAAAACAAAAGAGCAGTAATGGTATTTAAAGAAACTTTTTGTAAGTTTCAGGAGGATTTGGCTTCTGAGGACGGTAACGACTTGCTCCGTTTTTGGGACGTTGTTTATCTCCTTTTGCATCATATTTATCATCCACTGCATCTTTCTCTGTTTTATCCAAACATCTGTACTTCCACCAGCTGCTTCCTCTCCCACCAACTCATCCACTGACTCCACTAACACCAGCCATGCTATTAACGCCATCTCCCACGGTAAGCAAACCTCATCCTCCCTCATTCTGCCTTCCCAGTCATCCATTCCTGTCCTTTCATTCTTGGTTGTCAGGTTTTTTATATCCTTGATGTTTTAGACCCAGTTGCTCTCCTTCAGTTGGTTTGGAGAAACGGTCCCTTTCTAACCCTGTAGTGAGAACAGTGAGGATGTGTTAACACCAGCATCATTTGTCATCTCCAGCCTCCCCTCCTCCCATCCCCTCCACCTCCACCCCTAGCATGCCTCTAACCTCAGCCTTCAGCACCAGCTTTAGCAGCAGCAGCACTTCCAGCTCCTCCTCTTCCTCTGGTAAGCCTTCATCTGCTTTGCTGCCTCGTTGTTTGCCAGGACAGTCTTTGCTTATTGGATGTTTTGTATCAGGACATGATTATTACTTCTCATTTATGGAGTCGTTTGTAAAGCTGCACAGTTAAAAATGACTCTGCCTTTATTAACAGAAAAATTGTTCAGTCATTGTTCACCATGTTGTTCATTCAGTTTTAAATGTAACATGTTTCATTTATAAACTAAACATTTAATTAGCAAGAAAAATATTTGGTTTACCAACTAAATATTTAACTTGCTAAATATTTAGCTTCAAACGAGTTAGCTTGCTAGCTTCAGATCACCATACTCATATATTTAGTTGAAGATAAATATTTAGCTAAATATACTAACCTGCTGTGAAATACTCAACTTCAAACTGAATATTTAGCTTAATGTTCTTCTTCATGTATGTAGCTGACTAGATATATATTTTATATTTAGCTTACTGGCTAAATATTCAACCTCAAACTAACTGAACCTTTATTTAACCAACTCACATTTAAGTGTTTTGCTTGCTAATTAAATATTTTTGAAACTTTATTCAAAACTGTTATATAAATAAATTAACAACGTGGTGAAAAAATTAGTAAAACCTGAACCCACATTTTTTTCTTTGCAGGCTGAATAACCCAAATTATTAGTTTATTTTTGGACTTCGTAACTTTACACCCCATACCAATTATCTATAGAAACTAAATCAAAATGTAGATAACATGGCTCTGAGCTTTGCCACATCTGAATTCACGTTTTTTGAAATAGTGACATTTCATGAGAAAACATCAGAGATGTAGAGAAAGACCTGGAGGAAACCAAAACACATACAAGTTTCTTTTCACTTAATGTATGTTTTATTTCAAAATGTCTTTTCTAAACATCAGATCATTTTATGTCCTGGTACAAAACCTAAAAGAACTAATTGGTTTCTGTCACTGGTGTGAAACTCCGTCAGAGTTCAGAAAGGCTCCTGCTGCTTTAACCCAGTCTGCTTCTGTGATTTCTGTCACTGACATGCCGCCATATTGTTGCTAATCAGCTTCTGCCTCCATCAACACTACCACTACTTCGCCTCCATCCACCACTGCTCCCATTGCTTCAACCAGCAGCACACATGGTAAGGCAGATAGCCTCATCAGCAGCATCCATCAGTAAAACACACTGACTGACTGCAACATGAAAACAGAACCATTAAAACCTGACTAACATGAACAAGTAGATTGTTTTCTTACAGTTTACAGCAGCTGTGGGGTGAAGGAGACTAACCTGCTGTGATGGTTTTACTTCCCTGTAGCTGAACAGACAACCAGCATCACTGCAGCCGTTTCATCTGCTAGCACTAACCATGCAGACACTAACAGCACAGCGCTTGGTAAGAGCAACATTAACGCCAAACTGTCTGCAGAAATTATGCACAATAACATGAACAGTTTTTACATTTTTCGATTTAAAATTTTCCAAGCCAACCTGAACCGATGAGAGAATCTATTGGATTGTTTTCTATTTTCACAACCTGATCGGAAATCACTAAAATATAACCTTTCTGACTGCAGAGAGTAGGCCAGAACTTTATTTTAATTTTAGTAGTTTCTTTAAAACAGGGACAATGTGCAAAAAACATGAATAAAATATGCTTTTCACCAGATTTAGCTTAGCAAGCAGTTGAGTCAATAAAACAGTCAAATACCATAAAACATACATTAAGTCTCTACATTCCCTACATACGATCACAAGGTCATAAAATTTCATTATAAATGGTGCTAAATGCCAGACTTCTGCTCTGTAATCATTAATGTCACGGTTTCTCTGCTGGTCATTTCCTGACTTTACAAGAAAAGTCTTTCAGGTTAGTGGAAAGTTTTAGACTTTCTGGGAGTTTGTTCCATTTTGTAATGCCTTTGAGGGAAAAGTCTGTCTGTGGAAATGCTGAGCTGCATTTGGGTTTTCTGCAGTCGTCACAGTTGGTAGACCTGAAACCCGTCTCACATTTACCAAAAACATCAGCAGCTGGTCTAATACAACAGAAAACTAACACTTTATCTACCCGATAAAGATCATGCTAACAGTAAAACATGGTGGTAGTAGCATGGTGATCTGGGGATAAATTGCTGCTTGTAACTAATCGAATCATGAATTTTGAATCGTTAGATTGTGAAATTAAACTTATATTTTGCATTATTACAATGACTCAAAATGCATCTCAGTAGTTTAAAAAGTGGCCTAATCAAAGTCCTGAGACAGAATTCCTCAAATGTCATCCAAAATCCTTGCACAGTGATGCACCAAACTCTTTTCCTGCTCCCACACCTTTTGATGATAGCTGTGATCATCGACTGTAGAACAAAAATGACTTTTTCACACATGACCAGGTTGGTCCAGATAGACAATTACTTCATTTCAATAAATGCATTTTGTGTTTACTCTGTCTAACATAAAAATTAGTCTGACCTGAACCATGAAAGTGTGACAAAAGAAACAGAATCAGTAGAGAGCTATAAACGGTTGGTGTTTTCCACCAAGGCGGTTCTGGTACCAGAACAGGGCTGGTGTTGTTTCCACATCCTGTAAAGACACTTTTCAGTCTCTACTCTCACTAAAAACATCTGTGCTAATAAATACTAGAGTTTAGTGATGCGGGGAGATTTTGACTCAAATCAGGACCAAGTTGTTCTTGGGACCTGGAAATATTTCAGACCTGTGTGTCTTGCAGAACAATGGCTCTGTCCGCCCTCTGCTTTGAAATGCATCATTATTCTGTTTATTGAACAGGAAATGATTTTTATTCTGGAGGAAGTTACACAAACCTGAGCACCAACTCTGGTTTGGTGGAAAAGTAACATCTAATGAAGCTAAACAGGGCAGATTGGACAGACTTGCATGGATTAGTGTCCAGTTTGCTTTGGAAACAATAACATTTATGCATGTGTTATTTTTACTTCTTAATACTTTAGCAAAACTTGTTTGATTCCACCAACAACGTGGATGACTTAATTACACCTAAAATGACATCAAACTTGATTTTTACTTATTTTGATTCAAGATTTAATCATTCAAACCAACAAATACACATTTAGCGTTAGGTAATGAAATATTTTCTTTAAATATGAGTTCCTGTTTTCCTGTTAAAATACCTACATTTTCCCTGCTCAGCAGATTCTTATAGAGATGGATGGATGGGTGAAGCAGCTACTTTCAGTTGTTTTCATCAACACACAAGATAAAATATCAATGTTTTATAAACTTATTTTTGATCATTTTATCAAGATTCATTAGAGAAACACATCAAATCAATACTTTGTTTCCATAGTAACTGAAACCTGAGAGCCTTAAAGCATCTTTCAAATTCCTCCAGATTGCATAGGAACCTTGTGTTTGTCAGACATGTTGCCCAGTTTCTGTAAATTTAGTGACTTAATTTTCAATCACATATTTAATAATTTCATCTTCCTGCTCTTCTTTATCTTTTAACCACCCTCTTTTCTCTAGTTTCTTCCTTCGTTTCTTCACCTGAACCTTATCCAGGGACGACTCTCCAGCTGCCGTTTCTAACCACCAACCATCCGTCGACTAACAAAGCCGATGTTTCTTCTCTGGGTAACAAACCAGCTGCATGTCCTGTTAGCATCTAAACTCCTCAGGTTCTGAATTTCTATCCAGTCTTCACACCTTCTGTGTTCTTTATTGCTCTAAGATTTTATAAACTTTAAATCATGCATGGGATTCGTGGATCAATCGGCTGAATTTGTGGTGTCAGATGGTCTTGGTTTATGTCATTGGTTTTAATGTACTTTGCAGGCATTTCTTTTGCTTGGAAATGCATTTATTTATTTAATCTAACCTGCTTTTTCACTGCAATGCTTCCTCCTTTGATGCTGCAACCCAACAGTGGAGAGGACTTCTGCAACATACCCCAATTCTCCAAGGCCCAAACATAAAACTCTAGTTAGTGGATTAACTCCTGGAAGAAACTTTGGACTTTTTCAATCGATCAGAAGAACCCGGCGTGCGTTATCGTCCAACCCCCGTTCTCTAACATCCAGTCAGTTCAGTCCTACAGGTCAAGACTCCAGACCTCCAAAGTCACAGCATCAGCCCAGAGTTATTGCTTCAGCCACAGGTCCAGCCTCCCCAGTGGATCCATCACGCCCACGACCCCCCGCTGCCTTCCGGGGTTCAGCTTTCTATCACAGCCCCAAACACTCCCTGGGGTTCATCTCAACCCCCCTGAGGAAAAGGCCGAGTGGAGGAAGGCGACCAGCTGCCACCCGAGCAACCCCCAGCAGGGTGGAGGTTCGTGTGACAAAACCTTCCCCTCTAAAACCCGGACTGAAGTCGACAGCCAGCCCTTCCTCTAGGAACACGTCTCCCATGTTGGGAAATCAGCTAAACAGTTTGATTTCCACAGCAAAGTCTTCATCTTCCACCCATAATACCACAACAGTCAAGACCCCCACAACCAGTCGAGACTCTGAAACTCTTCTTGCACCCATACCATCACGGGCCTCGTCTCCACGGCAACATAAAGGTGAGGTGTCATCATCGTCAGGGCTGAGTAACAGAAAGAGCAAACCTGTAGCGCCCCCTTGGTTCCCTCTGAGCGTCAGCGGTGGTGATTTCCTAACGAGGAACTGGACGGATCCTCTGGAGTACTCTTCAGGGTCTGACATGTTCATGTATGATTTGGGTGACATGTATGAGTACGATGCTGTTTCCTCCCAGGAAGCACTTCCTGCCAGCTCTGTAACAAGAGTCAGTGACACTCTGAAGGAAAGCGATGCTAAAGAAATCTCTCCAAATAACACGAGTCTGATTGAACCAGAGTTTGATGAACCGTCGGTGTCTTTAACCGAAACTGCAGCCTCACCCTCTGCTGCTGTTTCTCCGAAGGTTCCCCTGAAACAACTTGTTGCTGTTTCTGTCTCACAGCAGAAACCCAACAGAACTCCTGATTCCTCTCTTTCTGTGGAACAAACTGGGTATCTGCAAATAACTTCATCTGCCAAAATTCATCCCTCCCCTGTTTTTCTCTCTCTCTTCCCCGCCTCTCTTCATCCTCCATCTTCCCCACCGTCCCTTTTGGGTCCCACTGAGCCACCCTCTGTCTCCTCCAGCAGCTTCCCTCCTCTTCTCCAGCTTCATGCCTCTCCTTGGGTGTCAGGAACCTCCCATCCTTCTGGTGTACCGCTTCCGTCTCCAACCTCAACCCTCCAGATGGGATTTGACCCCAGAAATCCATCTGTGTTATCACATCCTCTCCTTTCTGATTCCGTCTCTGAATCCCAGATCCCCTCTGGTGTTGGTGCACTCTTCCCTGAGTCCTCCATGTCTTCTGAGGAAAGACTATCCAGTGTAACAGTAACTGACTCTAAATCAGACCCATTAAGTGTCTCAGATGGAACTCCACTGAACAAATTCTTAAGAGGGAATAATCCAGTTTCCAGTTCACCTTCGGAGAATTTGTCTGAGGTTTTGAGGCCAATCACTCCGTCACTACATCCGTTCTTACTCCAGCCTGATCTGAGAGATTTAAAGGATGTAAATCTGTTTCCAGATCAGTCTCATCTGGGTCGCCTATCCACCCCAGCTCGGCTTCCTGCTTCCTTGTCCTCTTCGCCTTCAGATATTTTCCCTTCTGTCTTAAGCGACAGCCTGAGGACGTCGTCTGAGACGTCTCCTCCTTCTGTAGGGAACTCAAAACAAATCATAGGGAATCCTGCTCTTTTTCTGGCCCAAACATCAGCAGCTCCCTCTCAGGTGGATCACGATGACCCATTTATTCAGTCTTCTTTACCCTCGCCTGCCGTTCCACTGACAACACATCGCAGAACCGCCGGAGCACAGCTGGGAATCCCGGCTCCTCTGCCAAATAACTCACACCGGATTCCAAACTTAGCACACACACATCAGCCTCTTTCTCCCTCTGTTCCTCACATTCCTTCCCCTGCATCCTTCCCCTCTCCCCCCACTCTTGCCTCCAGCAGGGCGACATTAGCAACCGTCAGCGTGACAGAAGCAGAAATTGGCTTTCTGTCACCCACTCGACCCGCAGCGGCGTTCCTGAACAAACACTTCCAGACCCCACACCGAGCCGACATGCAGCCTTTTGAGCTCTTTTTCTCCCTCTCTGGGAAACAATCTTCCACACTCTCTGGAGATGAATGGGAAGCCATTCCCTCGCAGCCTTCGCTTCCTGCCAGAGACGCTGTCAGTGATGAAGTTGACTCTCATCCTGCGAACGGCTCCCTGAAAGCAGACGCCTCCAGAATTGATTCCATATTTGATCTTGCAGATGTCGCTCCGAAGATGCTTCCTGCTGAAGAGCGAGTCTCTGAAGTCGGAGTGAGTTCTACGGCTGAGAGCAGGAGAGACGGGATGCAGGAAGCTGCAACAGGTTGTTTGATTGCTGCTTCTAAACACACAAACAATCCAAGCATGATGGATGCATCTCAGCAAATCACTTCTGCTGTTACCCCAACACCCCTGCCATCTTCCGACCCCAATCCAGCAGCTTCCAGGTCCCCCACCAGCTCTTCCATCCATGCCCCAAATCAAGACATCATGTCTGGGCTAAAAGAGCTTTCCGCTATCGCAGACACAAAAAACATCTCCATCATGAATAAAGACATCATTCTGATGCTCAAAGACGCCCCTCTGGAGCCAGCCGAAGTGACAAACTCCACACGGCCCAAAAATGCTTCTGAAGATTCAAGTCCTTTAGAAGAACCAGCTGTTGCAAAGCCAAACCCGGCTTCAGATCCGAACCTGTGGAACCACGGAGTTTTCCTAAAACCATCTGCAGCTACAACTACTTCCTCCTCCTCAGCCGCTCCACTCAGAGACCCGAGTCCGACCACGCTGCGTCCCGCTCTGACTGCTGGTTCCTGCCACTGCAAACTGACCTTTGATTTTCCGTGTCTGTGCAGAGAGTCATCAGGGAACAGTATGTTCAAACCGTAGCTGTAGACCGTCGGAGAAAACAATCACGTGTAGAAACCTCCTTCTGATTGTATTAAGTCTTAAAATCTGGGAGTTTTCGCTCAGTGTGATACAAGGGATACGTTAGATTCCTTCTTAAGGTGGTTGGGCTTTTCTGTAGAACAACGAACCTTTAATCATATAAATCAGTTCGATCTTCTTGATCATACAGTGTGTTGTTTGTAAAGTTACACAGTCAAAAATCAAAATCATGAAAAAATAAATGGGCGTCAATTTTACAGCCATATTTTCAACATCATTAATTCATTTACAAATGTCACAGTTTCAAACTAAATATTTAATTAGCAGACTCAGTATTCAGTTCAGTAAATAATTAACGTGCTGATTATTTAGTTTATTTAGCTATTCATTTAGTTTAAATACTTTGCTGGCTCTAACATTTAGCAACATATTTAGTTTTTAGACTAAATATTTTTACTAGCCCAGAGTTAACTAAATATTTAACTAACTCCAATATTTAGCTAAATATTTAGTTTTTAGACTAAATATTTTCAAACTGAATATTTAGTCTACAAATATTTAGTTTATAAACTAGATATTTTGTGTGCTTGGAGTATTTAATTTTGAGTTAAACAGTTTCTTTGTAACAAAATATTTACCTCAAAGATAAATAATCAGTTTGTAGCCGAGTTTGTTTTTTTATTTATATTGAAACTGACGTTTATAAATGGTGAAATTATGACTGAAAAATTAACAACTTGTTTTTGTCTTATAGCTAAATAATCTGAATTCCTGCTGTTCATCTTTGACTGTGTAACAAACGGCACCGTTTGGAGTTTTGCTGATTGGTTTGGTGTGATTCTGGGTCCATTCTGAGGCCTGAGCTGTCCAATCAGGCTGCTGTTTTGGTAGTTCTAGTTTAAATGCAGGTATCGGACGTTTTTTTGATTTTCTGACACTTTTCCTCAACAGTTTCAGTCCTCGACTTTTAGCGAAGTCCATCCTGCTCTCTGGGGGAGACCTTCCTGCTCAGCTGCTCGGATTCTGAGTCCTTGTCAGAAATCTGCTTGAGATGTTTGAACAAGCAAAAAAGTAAAAAAAAATCCCTGTGCAGTTTGCAGGCTCTCCGACCAGAAACAATGTCTTCTGTTAGGGCCTCAAACTAACAACTGTAGATGTAAGAGAGACACCTAGTGGCTGCTGTGAAGCATAGCAGGAGATGGAGCGACGCACTAAACCCGCTGGGGCTCAACGCCATGAGAAAACGATAAATACTGTTAATAAGATGAAATATCTCTGAATATTTATTTCAGTTCATCAAATCAGGAATACTCCTGATAAAAATATGCAAAAATATTTAGAGTAAAACTAATGTAACTGTTGCTAAAATACCTTTTATTGAGGGACATTGTCTTTTTGGATTCATATTTAGATTTTTTTTTTATGTATTCATCTTGAGTTGTGAGTGGCAAAAAATTATTCAGTTTCTAAATGTGCAAACCTGCCAGAAGAATATTAATAAAGAACTCATTTTAGGTATTTATTTTGAATAAAAATGTTAGATTGGGGAATGATTTTCCTTCTACTCCTCAGTTAAGCTCAGTTGAGTTACTGTCAAACTCCATCCACTGCTGGTAATTCTGTCTGTCTGCAAAACATTATCTTAATCTGCTGAACTTCCCGATTCCCTCTAGCGACAAAACTGCACAAATTAGCTGATTAGATTATTTTCCATCTCATCAACCAGTAGATTATCGCCTAAATTTGCAGGTTTTATCTGTCCATACCCAGAAATCTGGGCTCAGCTGCAGCAGCTCAGTCAAATCCCACTGGTGTTTCCAGAGAGATGAAAATAAGGGCAGTGATAAACCTCAGATTTTGGTTAAAAATCTTTAGCTTTCCGCAGATGGTTAGATAACCGTTCAGGCAATCAGAAGGTTATTTGCATCACAGTGATGTGAGTTTATTCACCCAAATGAACTAATCTCCCTCCATTCGTGTGTTGCTGAATACATTCTCTATTTTACGCTCAGTTTGAATGCAAACGATCAAGACTGGGGGAAATTGGGCTGAAAGGTTGAAAACCTGTAAAAGATTTAGGAATCTAGCAGCATCACTGATGAAAACGTTGCAGTTGAGAGAGAAGAAACCTGTTGTTTTGTTGGCTGTTATCTGCTGAGCAGCACTTTTCCTGCTCAGCAGTTCACTGGAGGTTAACATGCCTCTGCTGGCTCTGAGTGCTTGATTCATCTCCTGCTGTGAGGCGCAGAAACAGGAAGAATGAAACTTGAATGAAAAGCTCTGACTGGGACGTTTTCCTGGTTTTTTGCAGACGGTTTGTTCTACCGGGTTTCCTTCACGGTGGAGTCTAAGCTCAGCCAGCAGGAGGTGCAGCGAGCCACAGCGCTTTGGGTAAGATGGGAGAAAAGTTCCCACAGTTTCCCCTGGAAACAGCAGAAAGAGCTGATCTGAAGCTTCATCAGTACGGGACAGGATTAGGGCCAAACGTTAAAAAAATATGACTTCCTCTCAAAGTTATGATTCTTATTCTCTGAATTCTGACATTATTCTTAATATTCTGACTTTTATCTCAAAATTTTCACTTTAAGCAAAATTCACACTCTTTTCTCAGAATTCAAACTTTAATCTCAATTTTTAACATTTCTCAGAATTCAATTTATTTTTTTTTTTGCTTACATTTTCAGCTTTTCTTTTAATTCTGACTTTAATTTCAGGATTCTGTCTTTTTTTCTCAGAATTGTGACTTTTGACCTCAGAAGTTTGAAGTCATATTTTTTTATTTTTTCCTCTTCTGAACATCAGTTCTCATCTGTTTGTAATCTCTGGCTGCTGCTGAGTGATCAATGTGTTTCTTCTTGCAGATTAATCAAACTTTTCAGAACTGGACCCATTCTTTGGATTACATCAGGTGATTCTGCAAACTTTTTAAAATCTGCAAATATTTTTTTGGTGCAGTTTTGTATTTTATTCTGTTAAAAAGATCATATATGAGGCCTTCAGGATGTTTTAAAACATTTTATTCACAGGTGTACTATCATCTCCATGGTAACATCCTGTGTCCTTAAATAAAACTGTTTACTTCACCAGCTTGAAGTAAACTATTAAGTATCCCAACTAAAGGGATAATAAAAAGGAAAATGTTTCTATTTTTCTGTTTCTAATTGCGCCAGGATTCTCTGTCTGTTGCTACTGCTGCCATCTAGTGGACGTTCACTAAAACTACAGTTGAACGTCAAAAGAATGAATAATTATAGAACGATCTTTAAAAAAATCTAAAAACAAATAAAAAAATGTTGGAAAGAGAAATATTGTAAAACAATGTAGATTCAAACACTGTTTATTACTAAAAGACTAAATGTTTTTATTTGTACTTTATTACATTTTATCATGTCTCCTTGAAGTAATTTGTTTCTGCTGTTTCTTTATTTGTATCTGTTTTCCAGAGTTCAGCAGAACGCAGCCTTGAACAGGTGAGTGTTTTTAAGCTTCAGAGCTGAGCTTCAGGTGATGACCAGCTTAAATCTGAGCTGCTGTTTGGTCTCAGTTTCACCTGCCAGGTGCTGCTGATGATCACCAACGAGAGCCTGGGTGAAGCCGACGTGTTGGACCAGCTGAACAACAACCCGGCCGGCACCAGCCTGCTGGGCCAGGCTGCCAACATCAACGTTCACCAGATCGGTCAGGAACGAGTTCAGCTGCAGAGATCTGTCCAACTGGAAACTCTGAGTTTAGATATTTGTAGATATTTGTATATTTGTTTGTGTTCATCTAATTATAATCTATCATGTAGATTATTTAAATTGAAACCTTGGTTAATAAATACCAAATTCTGGTCATTTATTTGAGTTTTAAATCTCATATGTTTAATAAGGCAAACAGTTCAAAATACATTCAGGGATTTTCTTACATTCTTTATAGATTATTATATAATAATGATTAATGATGTTACCATTTAAAGCCTTATTTTATTACATTACTACATAGTTGGGTGTTACAGTCCTCTTCTCTTTGTTCTGTTTGTCATGAACTGTCTGTATCTGTAACATGTTGGTCTGTTTGCCTCCTTCCTCACAGAGAACTGCCCAGAGGACAACAACCTCCACTACCTGTGGCCTGAGACCAAACCCAGAGTCACTCACTTCCTGCCCTGCTTCCCCAACAAGGACCAGAGCGCCTCCAGAACCTGGTAACAAAAAAATACTGCAGTTAGGCCAAGGTCAAACTGTTTTTGATTTTTATCACAGCATGTGGTATTTTGAGGGTATTTCCTTTGCTCAACCTTCGACTGATCAGATTTTTTAAAATTTCACCTCCTTCTGCTTGTTGTAATCTAAAATTAGCCGATATTTGGAAATGTTGAACAGTCCCACAGCATAATACCACCACCCCCATGTTTCACATTCTATTAGGAAGCTTCATCAGCGCGTTTTTTTTTTCCCCCCTTCTGATGTTTTTCTTTATATAAAGAGTAAAAAACTTTTGTCTTGACACAAAAGCCCAGAAACATAAAGAATAAAATAAACGGATGTCAGATGTTCAGTTTTATCACTGTTGTGTTTTTCCTTCTGGAAGTTTTTAATCACTTTTGGAGCGATGTCCAGTTCTTGGTATCGTTTCTGTGCTGCCATGTTTCCTCCATTTGTCACTGATTAGCTTCTGTTGGTCACAGTTTATCTAATCGCCCTGAAACTTCACAAGAAAGCATGAAACCTCGTAAATCTTAAGGAACCCTAATCTCATTAATTGGAAATCATTTTATCTTCTCTGAAGTTTAAACTGAATTTTAAATGGTGTTTAAGCAGAACCGGGTCGCTGGAGAACATTTAAATCTGATTAGCTTCAGTTTGAGACGTTTCATTAATCACTGCTGGCTGAACAAAGACGCTCAGCTCTGATTATCAGTAGATTCACTTAAAAAGCCATGAGGCCGATATAGATAGACTCTTAGTGATTAAACTCCTGGTGACGACAAACTGTTCATTATTGTTTCTAATGCAGAGACAATATACAGCTAATAGTGTTTGTATGTAATTAATGCAAACAAACATAACCGCTTGATCTAATTTCTGCTTCTACTTATTGTTTTCTGTTATTGGTTCACTTTAAAGAACATGTGTTATAGCAGATTATATAATAAATATATATTAACTAGATGTTTGTTTTGTTCGTCTGCTGAATGATTATGACAGAGTCGGACATATTTTGACACATTTAACCTGTTTTTGTCTCTTTTCCCAGTTTGATAAACCCAGAAACCTTCCAGTCTGTCTGGTCGGCTGCAAACCTCGCCAACTACTCAGTCACTGCAGGTACAAACAACTGAAAGCACATTTAGAAATAAAAATATAACTGTCCAAAGTTAATAAAAGCTTTCATTAGCTGAGTTTATCTAAAATTTACACAAATTTAAAAAATGTCAAATGCATTTTAAGTTCGGCTTAATTTGGGATAAATACATTTTCTGAAGAGTTTAAGATTAAATGAAGAATAAAATCCAGAAAATGATTTTGATACAAAATTGTATTAAGTCTTAATTTATACATTCATTTAATTTATATTAAAAGTAATTGAACAAAGAAAGTCTCATCTGGCAGCTTAAATTAAACTGATTGTAAATTAAACAGGTTTAGATTTAATCATGTTTGCCTAATTTTTTATAAGTTTCCACATTAACCCTTAAAGACCATGAATTTAACCTACTGTGTGTTTTTGTAGAAAATGCAGCAGGCGTGGCGGAGCAGCTGGCAAACTTCACCAAGAACACTCTGTCCAGGGAGGAGGTGGGATTCAGACTGAAAACTCATCAGAACCATAATGAGAATAAACCCAACCAGCTGTTTGTTTTCCTTCCTTTTGGGCTGCAGGTCTCTCAGGTCGTGACGAAGGTCCAGGAACTGGTCAGCGTCGCCAAGATCGACACGGCGGTGGCCGAATCAGTGGTCCATATCATCTCTAACGTCATGGTCAGCTCAGAGAAAGCGTCCAACATGTACGTCTTCCTGACCGTATCATCCGGCCTGCTGGACCAGATCCACACGCCTCTGCTGAGGAAACTCAGATTTTACCTTTTCTCCTCCAGAGCTCTGAAAGCTGTGGACGAACTGGCTAAGAAGGTGGAGTTTGATGGTGCGTCGGTGCACATCAACTCTAAAAACCTGGCTCTGGGCGTCCTGGCGCTCGACTCCAGATCGTTCAACGGGACGTCATTCAGCGCCTTCTTCCCTCCAAACTCCACTGACCCCCAGGTAACTGGGCCAGTCCCCGCAGGAAGAGCACGTTCTCCTCATCAATCCTCTTCCAAAGTGCTGATTTCTGTTTTTAATTAGCAAAATCCTCTTTTGTTTTCTTTCTTCTAAACCAACATAATGAGAAAAGCCTCTTAAAATAGGTTTATATGTTGTTTTTATTGTATTTCTGTCCCTGTTAAATGAAACCAATCAGCTGAACTGAGTCCTTCCTGTGTCAGATCGAGTTCGACCGGACAGCCAACCCGTTGGCTCAGGTCACGCTTCCCGCCTCGCTGCTCTCCGGAGTCTCTGCGGACGTTTTCAGCCGCTCGTCTCTGTCCAGGATCAACTTCATGTTCTTCAGCAGCCCCAGCCTCTTCATGGTAGGATGGCAGGGCTGAGCTTCATCGGTGAGGATGAGGGGAGCAGCAGGTCACGCGTCTCTGTGTTTCGTCCCCAGAAAGAGCAGAAAGGTTTGTCTCTGAACAGCTACGTGGTGGCCAGCAGCGTCGGGAACATTTCCATCACGGACCTGCAGGATCCGGTGAAGATCGAGATCGCACATCTGTCTGATCAGGTGCATTTATTTGTCATTTACTTACTGCAATTATTTTTACTTTATGTTTCTTTATTTTTTACCCTGTTTATACTTTTATCATTTTAAATATTTCTTGTGATTTTTTTCTTTTTTGCAAATATTATATTCTGAACCAGTTGGCTACAAAATTTGAGTTATTAGAATTAATTTAAATTTGTATTTTATTCCATTGTTGGTGTTTTAATTATGTTCATGCTAGTTGCCTTTATTTTATTCTCAGATATTGTTTTTGTTTGTTTTGCTTTTCTATACTTTATTTATGTTATTAGAGCTGAATGTGTATTCTTTTTGTCTATTTTTAATTTTATGCACTTATTGTTTATTTTAATTAATAATGGATCAGTTTTGGTTTTTATTTCATTCAATCAGAATTTATAATTTTGCTGGGATTTTTTTTGTTCAGTTTTATATTTCAGGTGATTGATTTAATCATTGTGAATATTTTCAAGTTAAATTCCTAAAATATACTTTCTTTTATTTCTTCAGTAATTTTTCTGGTTTGATTTTAATGTCTCATCTAATTTTTAAAATTATTATTTTCTCTTTTTTAATTTAAATTCAACTCTTTTTTATTTATCAATATTCTCTCTCAGTGTGTTTTTTCAGATATTTTTCCCTTCAGGTTTGGAGCATAAATGAAAATGTTATTCTATTTTTTATGTAATTTTTTTGTTGAGCTGTTTCTTCCTGTTTCCTATCAGGGGTCGTCGCGTAGAAAATGTGTTTTCTGGGACTTCAGCATGAACAGTGAGTCTGTCACTTCAGTTTTATCCTGCAGTTTCTTTTCTGCTTCAGGTCACAAGGTTGTTCTGAAATATTCAAATATATGTATATAATTTTATGTAACAATGATAAATTAATCAACAGCTTTAATCTGTTTGACCGCCACCAGGGGGCGATGGAGGCTGGAATAACCGCGGCTGCAGCGTTTCTAAAGAATCGACCTCCAGCAGGACCATCTGCCTCTGCAACCACCTGACCCACTTCGGCATCCTGATGGTGAGACGCATCACAGACTGGGATCCATCAGACGTCGCTGTTCACATTCACAGCTGTTTCCTCAAACAAACATAAACATAACAAACAAAAAGAAAAGTCCTGCTGGGAGTCAGAGGTCAGAGTTAACGTTGTGAGCATATAAATCTTATCGTCGGCTAACCTCAGACTTCATTCTGAAAACAAAATCACATCTTTCATTTTCCTGGCCTGTGATGACGTTTGAGAACATTCAAGTGGATTCTGGAGGTCATTTAATGTCTCAAACTCAGTGTTTTGGTTCAAGCAAAGGTGGAAAAACATCTCAATGTCCAAACCTACCATGAAAGTGTTTTAGTTAAGAAATGTTTCTAAAAATAATGAGCAAAACAACTAAACTCACAAAGGCAGATCAGGTTCTGTTTGTGTTCCAAGTCGAGCCTGGAAAATAAACCAGCAGTGAAAAGAAATCCTGAAGAGTTTTCTGTGTCTCTGATTCCCTGCAGGACATTTCCCAGACTTCCTTTAGAATCGATCCAGAGAACAAGAAGGTCCTGACGTTCCTGTCCTACATTGGCTGCGGCATCTCGGCCATCTGCTCGGCTGCCACGCTCCTCACCTACATCGCCTTCGAGTGAGTCCAGCCGCTGTGATTCAGTGGTTGGAGTTATAACCACCATTCAGAGAATCAACTAAACGTCCTTTTTTCCATCCTCCCAGGAAACTGCGACGGGATTATCCGTCAAAGATCCTGATGAACCTGAGCACGTCGCTGCTGTTCCTCAACATCGTGTTCCTGTTGGACGGTTGGCTCGCCAGTATGGTCTACAGCGAGGGGCTGTGCATCTCTGCAGCCGTCCTGTTGCACTACTTCCTGCTGACGTCCTTCACCTGGATGGGCCTGGAGTCGGTGCACATGTACATCGCTCTGGTCAAAGTCTTCAACACCTACATACGCAGATACATCCTCAAGTTCTGCATCGTGGGATGGGGTGAGCGCTTTGTGTTTTATAGGATTATGGTTCATTTACAACTCATTGAAAGTTGAGATATGACCAACCGGTGCTGATTCTTGGAGTTATATGACGTCCAAACCTTTTATGCCGTGTGCGAAAATAAAAAAAGCCCCCTCATGCTAGCGCAAAAACTTAGCAAGAAACTGCTTTGTTTTCTAAACTGATGTATTTTTGTTAACCAAATGTATTTTATATTTCATATTAGTATAACTATGTGGTTAATGGAAACGCAGCTATTAGTAGTTTTCTTTCCAGAACTGCCTTAAAAACTGTGAACTATATTTATTCCATTTTAACTGAGTGTGACTGTCTGTTTTTCAGTAGAGTTGGTAAAGATGTGTTGTTCTACTGACATTAAAATGACAGCAAAAAATCACAGGCTAATAAAAGAAAAACATTTATTTCTAACCTGAAATTTTCTGTTAAAGGTATAAATTTGTCACTGAAAGTCTCATACAAAGAAAAACACATTTAAACTGTTTCTAAACTCTTGGATGAAGAGGCCAGTTCAGCTTTGACCTGATCCCTGAGTGGCCCGGTCCAGTCCTGGTTCCTCCAGGCCTGTTTCTGAACCTTCACCTGTTTCAGGTGAATCAGGAAAAGACCTGAAACATGCAGGATTTCGGCTTCTGAGGACCGACTTTGGACATCACTGATAAACATCCGTCTGCGTTTTTCATTTCCCATGTTCTCCTATAAATTCATAAATAGAAAAACTTTTGCTTTGCATTTAAAAAATTAATGGATAAATCTAAAAATATGAGTTTAAAACCTGGCATTCCAACAGCGAAGAAGAGGAGATGTCTTCTGCACTGCAGAGTTCAGAAACCTGAACTGCAACAGGAACCTGTTCTGCTGGACAGCTGAGACGTTTTGCAGAAAGATTAGGACGAATGACACCTGGATCTTTTCATGGCTCCATATCATCAATGCAGGAATGTCTAAAAGTTGGAAGAACAACTGGAAACATTAGAAACTGGGGAAGGCCTTTTATGGGATGCACTGCAAGCTGAAAAGCAGAAATAGATGGATGGACCAGCACAGAGTGGATGGAGGAGCCCAAACTGTCAACTGAAAGCTTTTAGGCTCTGAGTTATTTGCATTCACCAAAACATCAGGGGAGGAAGGATTTGTTCACTTTGAGCTTCTCCAAAAACATCCAGAAGACGATGGGAGAAAAACAGAGTTTAGGATGGAGGCGATGCATCAATCAGGCCGGCGTCAGAAACTCATCCAGAGATCCTAAACAGTAAAAGTTTTCCTCTGCGCTTTCTTCCAGGTTTACCTGCAGTGCTGGTGGGAATCGTTGTCACGGCGAATAAAGACTATTACGGCGTCTTGAATAACCACACCGATGATTCAGCAATGATGTAAGACCACCATATTTGGAGTTGTAACCTGTCTGGTAAAATCCAGAGTGTGTTGTAAATGAACATTTAAATGAAGTTTTTATCGCTGTAGAAGTTATTGTTTCCTCTAAACTTGAATGTTACTGAAGGTAAACCACGGTGGGACTTCACTGCAGCAGCCACAGACTTAGCAGATGTTTCCTGTCCTGCATGTTTCCTCTCAGGTGTTGGATCAAGGAGAAGAGCGTTTTCTACACAACCTGCGTTGGTTATTTCTGCCTGATGTTCCTGCTCAACGTGGCCATGTTCATCGTGGTGATGATGCAGATCTGCGGCCGCAACGGCAAACGCAGCAACCGCACCCTGCGAGAAGAGGTCCGTGCTCAATGTTTTAACATAAATCTGAACATTTTTCAGTCAAATCAGCTTTTGGTGATGAGATTAATGTGTCCAGGATGTCTTTGAAGGTTTCATTTGAAATGTTTAAATTGTTAAATCCTCCACTGTGGTCCAGATTCTCAGGAACCTGCGGAGCGTGGTGAGCCTCACCTTCCTGCTCGGGATGACCTGGGGCTTCGCTCTGTTCGCCTGGGGACCCGTCTACCTGACCTTCACCTACCTGTTCACCATCTTCAACTCCCTGCAAGGTCCTGAGTCCAGACGGCCGTTACCTCCGAACCGAACCGAACCGAACCGACGGCTCATGACTTTAGAGCATCTAAACATTCAGGGTTCAAATGAGGGAGGAAAAAATTATTTTAATCTGAGGGGATTTCAGTGGCTCAAGTTTGATCATCCATCCATTCATCCATCCATCCATCCATCCATCCATCCATTCATCCATCCATCCATTCATCCATCCAGTGAGATCTTTTGGCTCTTTGGTCTCATGTGAAAAAATATCTTATTTTTATAATCTGGTTGTTCAGATTGTACTGCAGCTCCTCCTCATTTATTCAGGCTAAAATTTGCTTAATGTTCAGCAGACATGATAAAAAGTCGCTTCATAAAAGTTTCAACCTGAAATGTTCTTGCCTGATCTCATCTCCTCTCAGGTCTCTTCATATTTATCTTCCACTGCGCTCTGAAGGAAAACGTGCAGAAGCAGTGGAGAAGATACCTCTGCTGTGGCCCCTACAGGCTCTCAGAAAACTCAGGTATCCGTCCGTCCGTCTACCTGCCTCTCTTCCCCACAGGAAGCCCTTCGGATTTGTCTGCCTTGCTGCTGCCAGGTTCACAGAGCTGTGAGAAAAACAAAGGAAGGACAGTTTAATAAAACCTAAGTCACCTCGGCTCTGCAGCTAATAAAAGCAGATAAAACGCAGCCGTCTCTCAGGGAGAGGAATGTCCTCCAGGTGCAGTCAATCTGAGGACGCTGTACTCAACACTCTGTGAACATCCAACATGAAGTTTGACTTCATACTGTAAAAATTCCTTATGAACTTTGTGTGTCATCGCCTTAGAAATGAGGAAAACCTCCTTCAGCCAGGATCACGGTCGTGTTCCTGTCCTGCCTGTGTGTGGGATGAACACAGCGAAGTTAACAACGACCTGTTGGGCGTCTCAGCTGGACGTAAAACAAAAGCTGTTTCCACATTACCGAAACTTTCCACTCATTGACTCAATTTGTCCAAAACTGGAGCACACAGAGAGAGGGATCTTTGATCTTTGATCAAGGTAAACGGTAAACGGCCTGTACTTGAACATGACCCCAAAGTACTTCACTCTACGTCTCATTCACACGGTGCTGGGGGTGAGCTACTGGATAGTAGCTACAGCTGCCTGACAGAAGCCTGGCTGCCGGGCGCCGCCGGTGCAGATGAAACGCCTTGCCCAGGGAGCCGGGATCAAACCAGCAACTTCAGGACAAACTCTTTCAGGACGTCTCTGGAGAGTCCTGCTCTCTCTCCTTCTCTTCTCTCCACTCTTTTCTTTGAGGATTTGGGTCTGGAGACTTATGTTTCCATCTTCAAATTTCAGATTCTGTCTGGTTTTTATTGAATATATGCTGCAGTTTGCAGGTTTCATGGACTGTAACAATGTTCTCTCTTTTGGAGGAGAAACAGACCCAAAGCATCACAGATCTCCCACCGTACCTAACCACCTGGATATTGATCTGTTTCAATAGAGTTATGGGTAATTGATGATTAATGTGGCCAGGAAGCATTCAGTCTGCAGACCAACAGAATTAGATGGTTGACAAAAATCTGGAAACAAAAGCCAAGACAAACTGAAGCTTCCACTGAAGTGGGCGGAGCCTCGATATTTGTTGTGTTTGTCGATCGGGGACCTGAACGACGCAGACGCCAACCGACCTGTACTGTAACCAGAGAAAGAGGACCGCTCCAAGAATCAGACACATTTACACAGAAATGTTTCATTTTGCACACAACCCCAAAGTCAACACCCTTAAAGGGACAGCATTGTGAAAAATCAACTTTTTTGAGCTTTACATCATGTTATAAATTAATTCACTCATCACCATCATACCTGAAGTTTTACCTTAATTCATTCATACATGTTTGAGAAATCCTTTAATCTCCATGGCAACGAGTCAGCTGTCCAAAATGCCTGAGTGGACACAGCAGCTCCTCCTCAGAACTGCAGCGTCCATCTGCCCTCCCCACTCAGCTCCTTCAGACTAGCCAGCAGCAATTAGCAAACACCAGGTGGAACTGAGCTCATTATAGGAGCTGATTCTCAGTGAAACGCTGGTAAAAACATTGCTAAAGGGTAAATAGAGGAGCCATGTTGTGATGACTTCCTGGAGTTTTTAAAGAGACAGAGCCCCACTTTCAATTTGTGAAATCAGGAAGTCATATTTGACATACATATCACTTTTAGAACAATTGAAGGTTACACAGTTACTTGATTATGCTATAAATTGGCTCCATGTGCCTGGAAAAATCATTTCTACTCCAGGTAATCACCTGATGTGGCTTACTGGTTCTGTTTGCCTCCTGCAGACTGGAGTAAAACGGCCACCAACAACACGAAGAAGGTGAGCTCAGACAACCTGGCCAAGTCGCTGTCCTCCAGCTCCTTCGGCTCCAGCACCATCAACTGGACCTCCAAGGCTAAAGCCACACTGACACCGTTCTCCAAGCGAAACAGGAACACAGGTGAGACGCCTGGCTAATGAGAACCCCACATGAAAGTGTTTTCATGCTTGACAGATCAAACAGGACTGTAAGAACCTGGAACAACTCTGAACACAGTAGTTTACTAAATGAACGTCTTGCTGTGAGAAAATGAGCTCAGATATAAAAGAGTTTTTCCTTCAACCTTAAGGTCTGGAAACAAGGGAAGGAATCAAAGTTCACACAGTCGGACTTTGGTCTTTAAAGCTACAGTGAACAATAGTTTACCAATCTTTGTAGAGTCCTATTGGGGGGACGTTTCTGCTTTTCTGTCTAGTCTTTATAACCGATCGTGTTTTACAAAAATAAAATGTCAGAAACAGAAAATTAAACCTTGTAAGAAAAATAATTTTACACACGATGCATGGGGGCTTCAACCAAAGTCGGTCAGAAACTGTATCAGAAGGAAAAAGGCCAGGGAATAAGATCCGGCAGTGAATCATCCCACTCATCCTCCTCATTATTCTTTTCCTCTTCATCCACTCATTTTTCTCATCATTAATCACAACATGCAGCCCATTTTTCAACCCTTTTATCCTCCTTGTCATTTTTATCATCGTCATATTTGTCATTGACAGATTTTTCTTTCCGTTCTTTCCGCTCATCATTCTTTTCATCCCGCTCATCCTCTTCATCATCCTTAAGGACTCGGATTCGTTCTGTTCCTTCTTCTGTCACCTTATGTCACCTTTCTCTCTTCTCCTTAAAATGCTTCATCCCACTCATCCTCTGTGACCCAACTTGATCGTATTCCTTAATGTTTTTTCAACCTGTTCATCCCAATCATCCCTCCCATCATATTTTATATAATCCCTCTTTCATCCAATGTTTTCTGGTTTCTATTCTTCATCTGTTTTATCCCACTCATCCTCTTCGTTATTCTTGGCTCTCTTTTCATCCCACTCATCTTCCTCAGCAGTCGTCACAACTGCTTCCCTCTATGAGTCCCATTTATTCTCCCCATCCGCATTGAATTATTAATCCGATTAAAACCGTTTCCACTCAGTCTTGTTCTCAGTCCAGTTTAGTCTGATCCAGCACATCATCCTTTTGTTTCTCCACTGTAAATATCAATCCTCGCCGTTTTCCTGTTTCTTAGGTGCCATCTGGAAAGTCCTAACTATGAGGTCTTTTGTCTGCTGAGGCAGAATACCAACACCCACATCTCATTGTTCTGAGACAAACAGCCTCTTTGGACGTCCATTAACGCTGTTAACTAGTAAACTTTGCTAATGATAAATTAAGCCTTTTATTTCCTCTAGTTTGTTCGTTGTACCACGCTAGAATTAGTGGAAAAATCACAGCAGTTGTTCCTTTGTAAGTAGATGATTGTTAAGAACAATCAAATCGGAACCAGGCTGCCTGAGTCCCTGTTTCCAGACTGTGTGTGCAAACAGTCATTGTTCTGTTCATTTTGTTGCAAGTTCTCATGTGTGTGTGTCTGTGTCTGGTGTGTAGAGAGCTCATCAAAGCATTAACAGGAGGAAACCACCTGCAGAGGTAAAGATGATGTCATGTGATCCGCTTCAGGTTTCCCAAAACGCCTCTGAGTGAATCTGAATTATGCAAATCCTCAGATTCACCTTTTCACAGGATGAAAAGTCCTGAATCAGACGTTTTGGGAAAATGCCGCCCGCTGAGTGTGTTGTGATTGTCTGCTCGCTGTGATGTCACACTGTTTCCAACCCGAGACGCTTTGAAGGGTTTGAAAACCAAACTCCACCCGCTCAGAGCGTCCCAGGATGCAGAAACAAACGCCCACTGCCAGTCTGCATCTCTGCTAACATGTGTGGTGTGCTTTGGTTTCCTCTCAATAGTTTGCTGTTATGGATTCTTAATAACAGCCTAATGTGCTTCGTATCAGTCAGTCACTGATCATGTGGGTTTGCTGTTTGGAATTAACACCAAATGTGAAAGACGTCAAACATTGTTTATATGTTGGGATGAAATAAACTCCAGTGGGAGTGAATTGATCTGGCTCTCATTGGCTGGAATCACATGAAACATCTGTTCTCCAAACTCCACCAAAGCTGCAGCATTTCAATCATTTCTACGATTCTTTCATGAGCCGCCAAACCGTAACGCAGCTCGCAGATAAACAGCTAAACTTTAGTCTGAAATGTTGCTGTAGATGAGTTCATTCTAACTTTAAAGTTTAAAAAATCTTTTTTACAATAAATATTAATTTTTTGTCTTTGATACTTTAATATTTTTTACATAAAGTAGACGGGTACATCAGAACAGACCAAAACATTTCTCACGATAAAATATAGGAAACTGTAAACATTTCTTTAAAAAGGACAGATCTGGGACCAATTTTGTGTTTTGAATCTAAAATGATTCACAACTTATTTTTTAACAAAAATCTGTCATTATTTAAATTAAAATGTTTAATTTTAATTGTTGTGACCCAAAAGTTCTTTTAACTGAGAATTTTCCAAAGTTGCTGTTAATCTGACAAACGAGCCTAAAACGAAGACAGACTCAGATTCTTGATTATGATCCGTAAGTTATTATCATAAAACTTTAATTAAACTGTGTTCACTTTTATTTGTTTGCATTTGGACCAGTAATGAAACATGATGTAATACTGCAAAATAAGGCTCTAACTGACATCTTGCTGGCAGAAATGATTTCATGAAGTCATAAAATCGGATTCTCTTACAATGAGAACAAAACAAAAATCTTCTTTAAGTCGTTGGTTGCTGCCTACAGATATTCAGCCTGCCTGCCTTTCCTGGTTTTACTGAAGACAAACAGAGATTTGGGAGTTTATTAAAACCTTCCAGTCAATTTAAAGTTACTGAGGATGTTTAATTTGGGATAAATATTGTGGGGTACTAGTAGGACCAAAACCAAGCGGTGTAATTTCCAAATTTTCTGATATTTATTGATTTAATGGAGGTTATTTTTGCTATTTGAGTTCCTTTCTGGTACACTTTGCACCACCTCTTTGTACTTTGGGTTTTATTGGTACAACCTAAGGAATAATCACCAAATCCACTCAGTTGACAGGAGCAAAGTGTTTCAAGCAGAAAGTAATGTGTGCTTTAACTTCAAAACGTGTCCATCTGTTTTTACAGACCATTAAACCTGTGGATGAGTTTCTAACCTCTTCTAAAATCTTTCCCACTTCATGTCTGACAGCTGAAATTAGCGGCCGCTTGTGAGTTCAGCTGGACTTTAAGTGAGCACAGATGGTTGTATTTCTTTGCATTAAGTTTTTATCATTATCTAAGTTTCTCTAAACAGATTCCTCATGCAAATGAACATATAATTTTTGTTTCGCCCACAATAGGTGTAATTTATCAGTGATAAATTTCACTAACCTTCATTTGGCTCTGTGTGCCTTTCCAGAACACTTTTATTGGCTAATCGTGGACGTGAGTGAAGTAAGAAGATTTAATTTCTGACAGTTTTGAACAATTCTTCGGTTTGTACAGCTGGGAAGGATTTAATTCCTATTTTGTCTTTAGTTTGGCATTTTTACAGCACAGGAAGCGAGTCCAGCTCGGCTCGCCGCTGGTTTGGCAGCTCACACGGTGGGCTTCCTTTTCACTGCATCGCCACACAACAGTCAGAAATAACAGATTAACACCCGAGTCTCAGTATCTGATTTTTATCACCAGGTGGGCTGGAAGAGGCTTGTTTGTCCAACACATTCCACAAATACACAGTTGGGTTGAAGTAGGAGAACATGGAGACCGGGTCAGCACCTTCCTGGTCCTCTGGAGCTAAGTGATGTTTTCTCGTAGTCAGTGTCTCAGGAAGCTTCTCTTCCAGCGCGGAACATCTTCATTTCCACACCGCAGCTCCATCAACCTGATGACTTTCACTTGGAAGAACCTGAACACCTTAAAGTTTCTGCCTCAATAAATAATCTGTTATCCTTGGAGGGTGTCAGGTGGCGAGAAACTATACGGCAAGCAATTAGTACCAAAAATACTACATGTATTAACTGTGTTCTGATGTGTAAATAACAGGATGCACCGCTTTTTGTGTGCAGTCAGTTTCCTCTTCCCTACATTTTAAATGTACCTGAATGGTTTTGGGTAAAAGTGTAATGCTGAGACCCAGAACCACAAAAATGTGAAATGTGAAATAAATGACAATAAATACAATTAGAGAGGGACTTTATCCACAGGTGGAGACACCCTGAAAAGACAAACATGCAAATCCGTCTGCACAAAAACCGTTTATGAGGAATTCTTATTTTATTCTCATTTTTTAAACCCGCTTTGATTTTGTCCATGTTTTAAATTAAAGAGCTTATTTCCTAACTCAATGAGAATCAATAAGTGAGATCAAGATTTTTACATTTCCCATCCCTCGTTGCCCCTCATTGTTCATTTGCAGCTCTGCGTTTCTCTGATTTTCCTTTCCCACCGAAACGCTGCAGCTCGTTATAGGGGTTCCAAAGGAGTTTCCAAACCTGAAAAGATGTATTATTGTGATTCTCAATGCACTTTGACGTAAATACCATTACCATAGTTCAGGTATGCAATCTTTGGACATTTTCCCACAATTTTCCAAATAGAGTAGATACCAAATCTGCTCTGAAAACTCCTTTGCATCTCTGAGGATGAGTTTGTTGGGAATCCTAAGGCTGGATCAATCCATATCATGAGGAAGAAGTTTCTCTTGTAGCCAAATTAGCTGCTATTTGTCTCATTTTGGGTCGCCTGGGAGGAAAAAACTCACATTATGACAGAGTCGCTCGTCCCGTTTGACCAGAGTTGTAACGTATAGATCTGTTAGCTGATCTACGGTCGGACATTCACAGAGGCCTGTTACCGTTTCCACATGGATGGGAGACCTGTCAACGTTCAGCCACTTCGCAGATTAAACCTCGTAAACCACAGATGAGCACACTGGAATAACACTCAACAATTTTGGAAGTAACACCTGATTAACTTCCAAGCACGACCAGGAAAACTTTCCAACCGCCGCCTCTGTCGTTTTGTTGGCAGCGATGGGAATGAAAAAATGTCTCCAGAAGTCTTGCAGATCAACAGTCCGGGGACACAGACTGAAAAACATTGCTCATTTAATGTTTTTCAAATCATTTTAATCAAACTCTGTAGTGTGCTGCCTTCCTGTTCTCATGTCAGCTTTTTGGCTGATCCCACAGTAAAGCAGAACCAGGTTATCCTTCTTTGTGCAGTTCGTCACATTTGAGGCATGAAGGACAGTCTGATCTGATGTCCTAATGGTTCTGATTAAAAACACGTTCTGTTACATGATCAGAGATCTGCACACATGTGGGCCTCGTTTCCCTGCTATATCTGAGGAGCTTCAGCTGAATCAGAGTCCAGTAAATGTTGATGTCGCTGCGGCCCTGGTACGCTGTGATCAACAAGTCGGAAGACGTTTCTTTGAGTTCAAAGTGCTTTAAAGGGAAACAGATGAACAGACGGATGGATGTTTTCTACAACGACGCTCACATGGCTGGAGCTGTTAAATATCGCTCAGTTTTTACAAGTTCTGATGAAATGTCCCAGCATGGATTCACGTTTTCATGTTTGTCAAATTCTGATGCCGAAGCTGAACCTGTTGGTCACATTTTGTAAGTTTGTGCAAACTGCAGCAAATAAACAGTATAGGCCTTCCTAAATTCATAAAATCTGCTTTTATTTTCCAGTATCACACCATTTTTTCACAAGCCACAATTTCCTAATCCAATAAAAACTGCTACAAATGTTCTGATTCAGGCCTTTAACCCTTTGAACTGGGCGTGGCATTCGGACCTCTGAGGTAAATGTAAAGACTTTGTTCAGCAGATCTCCTTCTCCGCTGCCAACAAAGTCTTTCTCTGCACAGCAGGATTCTGACTGAGTCCCTGCCTGTATGACAGCGTCACGCTGGCAGTGGAAGAGGCCTAGCGAACACTAAATGTGCTTGGTTTGGCCGGAGATGCGTATGTTAAGCTTGACTGCTTTGGCACCTGTTGTACAACAAATTCCCAAGAAATGTAAACCTGAAAAGGCAGCTGGTGTTGATCCGGTATGCATTCACTTAGCATTATTAGTACGAATTCAGACAGACGCAAACAGATGGAGAATGCTAATGAGTTTTCTGCTGAAATTCACCCAATAATCATGTTGACTTTGGCTCCTGGTCTCCTGTTTATGCATGTATCCAACCAAAATGTCTTGATTGGCTTCACATTTTCCTACAGGATGTTTTCGATGGACTCAGACCACAAGAACTATTAAAATCTATCAACTGTTAGAATCCTCTAATACGGTTCTAATAGTTAAAGAACAAAAGCACACAAACCCTTACGGACGATCTCACTGGGGTGAAATCCTTTGGAGCCAAACGTTGCCTTTCAGGCCACATGACAGGGAAGAACCACAAACTCTCTTTTTATTAAAATAAAACAAAAAAATCAGCTTCTCTTAATCTAAAAACCTGTTTCCTTTCTACTGTGAAAATAAAACTTGTAGACACTCTGCTGATTAAAAATAAGTTTTGTGTGCAAAAACTTGTCAATTCCAGTTGTTTCATGTAATTCTTCTTAAGCCAGTTTTAATTTTGTTTGAATCAAATAAAACGTGGGGCATATTTTAAATTAAAGAGTTTATTTCCTAACTAGATGAGAATCGATAGATGAGTCTGAATCTTTGTGTTCCGGTGGTTAGTTTAAGTCAATGACCTAATGAGTTATGCTGTAACTCAAACCAGAAAAGATGCATTGAGGGTTTTTGGACTCATAAAAATGACCCCTAATAACTCAAATGACGGCACCCAGTCTGCTTCCTGACCTGTCTTCTGTCTGAAATCCTGTCCTCTTGGTCATGATTATGACTCCAGTTAAGGTTCAGACAGCAGATGAAGCGTTTTGCCCAATTACACATCAGCAACGTGACCAAGATGTCAACCTACTGGTTACCGGACGAACCCCCTACACCTTCAGCAGCACATCATTTCCATTTCTGTTTGACGGTAGAAACGGTCTGTTAGCTTCATACGTGAACTCTGACCCCAGCTGTGTCGTGTGGAGCCGAGAACATTCCTTCAGACAAAAAGAAGCTCTTAAGGTTTTCACAAGAGTTAAAGAGTCTGTTCCAAAACATTTTCCTCGTGTTTTTACTGGCGGTTTGATCAGAACTGTTCAGCAGAGAGAATTTATTCCTCTGACACTCCTTGTTGATGGTGTACACCCATCCTCTGCTTCCCATGCAGCCCGGAGGGGCTGAGGTGTAATCCCTCTGTCTCCGTACATTCACCGGCTCTGGGAGCTGGAAAATGAAAAGCAAATATGAGAATGGCTGCTGTTGTTGAGCTTTGACACGACGCAGGCCTGCTTCTCTTGGCTCGGCTGTTTCATCTGCTGGTTCCAAAACCTTCCAGGACTGGACCCTTCTGGAAGAACAAAGGCTTCAAACCAACAAGCCACATTTAGGAGGGAATTTTTCTAAAAGAAAAGCAACAACCAAACTGGTTTGTGGTAAGCTAGTCAGCTTTTACTAGGCCAGTTTTCAAATGGCGGTATTTTGGTTTAGTTTTTAGTGCAAATATCTTAGCAAACTTAAATGACTCAAAAGTAGCTTAAATATGTTTTCAGCAAGATGCATGGGCTTGTTTTTAGCCAAATGGATTAAAAGCACTGGTCCCACTGACTGATTATTTCACTTTCAACATGCAGATCTTATATTGCTGATCATTTGTTCACTGCCTCCTGGTCTGATCCACAGAGTTTCTCTTAGAGGTCAGCATGTTATCACAGTTTCCTCTGGTTTTCTTCCCACAATCCAGAAACAAGTATTTTAGACTAACTTGTGGTTCTTCATTACCCTTCGGTTTCTTTCTTCACCTGGTGGTGGTCTGAGGTATTGCATGAGTCTGAGACCCTAAGCATCAGAAAGCAGGCAAAAAACACGAAACACGTGAGAACCAGAGGTTTTCTTTCTGATGACTCCTAAATGAGAGCCATGATCTGATTTGCGGTTTTTCATATTTTCTTGCATAACAGTGGAAACGTTCCCAGTGGGAATGTTACTTCCTGCTTCATGGGTGAAGCACAGCATCACTGCACATCTCTGCTCATCTGTTCTGTTTCTTTCACACATCCTGACTCAGTCACATTCCTGATCTTTCTTTACTGCTGGTTGATTTTGAAAGCATAGATTTTATGATAATTTAGACCGTGATGTGTCTTTTTTAGTGGAATAGCTCTTTAAATTATACGTTTATTTCAGGTTTGTGATTCTCGTTGCCCTGCTTTTACATTTGCTTCCTAACTGTCTTGTTTCCGTCTTTCTCTGCAGACAAATGTTTCTCCAACCAGACCAGCCCCAAGTGTGTCTCCTCATCCTCTTCCTCCTCGGATGTGGAGCCTAACTCGTCTTCCTCCTCCTCCTCCTCCATCCTTCCTGTCAGTCAGATGATTGACAAGGTGAGAGATTACTGCTCCACGCGCACCGACAACTTCTACAAAAACATCATCATGTCCGACAGTTTCGCCAACTGCACCCGGCTCTAGAGCTGCAGCTCCAGCTTCTGGAAGACCTTTTCTCTTTGTAAATATTCACGACTCGCTTTCAGCCTGGGATGCGCCTCGTTCTGGAACATCTTCAGGCGTTTAAGGCTCCTCTGTTGTTGCCAGAGGAGATTGTTCTGAATCTAAAGGAGCTTGGGGAATCTTTGCAGATCTGACCGGGAACGTCTTCTGGAACGTTTCCTTTTCCGTCCAGGAAAACGGATCAGCCTTTCCGCCGTCCTATTACGCACCTACAATCTTAAGGAACATGTTTTATTTTATTGTTTTCTTGTGTTATATGTGTTTGTTTGGTATTGTATAAGTAGTAGGAGTTTTACAATGTGGAAATCATTTAGATTGAGAAATTTGTTCAAGTTCAGCTCATTAAAACAGAATCAGTGACATTAAAATCTAGTCCTGTCCTCAAAATTTCTATAAATTATGACAGAATCAATAATTCAATAATTCCCCAAACCAGCTTTAATGCAACACAGAAGATTTTCTGATGACCAAACGAGCAAAGTGTCTCAAGGCCAGAGAAACAACTGGCTGTTGCAAAATAAATTATTAAAAATATAACAGCTGCAAACCGTAAGAAGCAAAAAAGTTATTTTTCAAAATGCTTGGTGGGAGTCCACAGCTGAGGGCTCCTGCTTTCTGCATGGAGGGTCTTTCCTGGTGGTTGTTGGTGGTGGACTTTAATTATAATAAATATTTACATAAATCTGACTGAGATGAGACTGAGATCATGAATTAGAAATAAATATCTGGACCTTATTTAGCCATGAACGTTTAGACTTTCTTCTCTTATATATTCCACACAAAATCAGCTCAATAAAAGACTATAAATCATTTAAACAGTCGTCAAACCACCAATACTGTAGCAGCTTAACTGATTTAAATGTAGGCGACATGGACTTATGGTGCCGTTTGTAAAGTCACACTGTCAAAACTGAACAGCAACAGTTTGGTTTATAAAGCCAAACTGGAGAAAAACATTATTTCACTCACAAGTTCACCATGTTGTTCAGTCATTTATTCACTGCTTAAAACTAAATATTTAACATTTAGTCAACCAACTAAATATTTAGCTCCAAACAAAATGTTCAGCAAGCTGAGTATTTAGCTTCAAGCTAAGCATTTATAGTTACCAGGGTAAATGCTTGATTTTAGACAACATGAAGCCACCTGTAAGCTAAATATTTAGTTAAGTATGTAGTTGGTAAGCTGAATATCTAGCTCAGTATATTTGATTTGAAGCTGTGACATTTATAAATAAATGCATAACATGATGAAATTATTTACCAGCTAAATAACCCAAACTACTGCTGGTCATTTTTGACTGCATGTGTTTTATTTACTATTGCAGCTGTAATACAAAAAATCTTTTCTGTATTTCCTGAGTGGTTGAGAGCTAAATGGTGGTTAATATGGTGACATATTTCCGTATTGTATAAGTTATTTTCTGGCAGTAAGTATGTCTTTAAGTGTTATGGAAACATCTGGCAGTGACCACATGATGCCTCCTGGATTCATTCAGGACTGAAGCTCCGCTGCTCATGCAGACAAAAACCTTTTCCATTTAAACTCAAAGAGAGGAATGTTAATCATCACTTTAATAATCTGTTTATACACACAGAATAAGCTATAAAGAGCAAAATATGGCAGCAGTTTTCACTCTGATGTAGCTTCAGCCTCACCAAAGACAGAATACTTTGGGTGAATTTTGCTTCCTGAGTGTTCACTAGAACCAAATGATCTTTTGCAAACTCTGCAGAGCACAGAAACCCTCCTGGAATCAGTTTGAGACACGTCAAGTCACAGGAACAAACCCTAAGTTAGAAACGACCCATAAAACCTCCCAGTTTTCCACATCCACGCGTCTCCAGGATGACGAGGTGCTTCAGTTTGGAGCTATAGGGTGGTCAGAGACGCTGATGCGATCCTACTGTATCATGTAACCGCCGGACTGTAAAAAGGGAAAGAGCCGGAGAGAAATGGGCTGTTATGTTCTGTTGTCTTTTTTAATACTGTGATGTTTGTTTGTGGAGCCATATCCTCTGTAAATAGTGATCTCTCTGTTCGATGTGCCTCATTCTGTGTGTGGATGCAGGAAGCTGCAGTCCGGATCGTTGTGAAGCTCCGAGTGCAGAACGGATGAGACGGGAAAGACCAAACGGACTTGGTCCAGATTAGACTTCTGTGTTGTTAGGAAACTGATCTTTGATTTCTCTCTGCAGCTGTTTGGGTGAAGATTAAATAAATACACTTTATTGTTACATAAGCAGACTTTTTCCACCTTTATGCTGCTTCATTTTACATTTGAGAAATACAAAAAGAAAGCCCGACCAAACGCAAACGGAGGCTCAGTCAGTCTTTGCTTCTCCTGCCAGGTTAGTTTTAAATCTGGCAGCTTGAACGTGGAAAGAAATGTTTTAGGGTGATAAACAGTGATGTCTCTGCAAAAAGTATGAAAAATGAGGAATCAGTGGGGAGTTTTCCACAGAGCTGCACATAAAAACTCATTTTCTTGTAATTTTCAATGTCTATGAAGCAGAAGGAATAAATAAACTCAATCAATCTTAGAATCAGGAACCTGTTTTGTGTCTGGCTTAAACATTGACCACAGTCTCTAAGAATTAAAAGGTTCATTTCGCCCATCTCAGTGAGCCAGTTTTATGATATTTCCCACTGGAAGAGGGAGGAAACCCAAGAACATTGTTTTTGGGGAAAACTGTAAAAGGTTTAGCAGCACAAGTGAAATCCCATCCCGGTCCCTCTGTGTGTTGGCACCGGTTTAAGCTAGTGGTACCTTTAAAGGGTCATGTTCTGCTTTTCTATGACTTTCACCAAATAAGCCAAATATTCACATGGAAAACCCTTTCCTGAAGTCTGATAACTGGAAACAGGATAACATCGCCCCTGCAGCTTTGGCTGCAAAAACAACATTAAAAATAAAGATTTTGGATATTTAATGACGCTACAGTGGACCCCGACTAGTTCAGGTTCGGGTTTTTTTGTCTGTTTACTGAATGTTTTTTGTAGAGCATTTAAAATATATTCTAAAAAATAAAATAGCTAAGCACAATGCTTGACCAGCATTTGAAAACCAGCCAATCCAGAAGTCTAATTTATTTTCCTTGGTGCTGATTGGCTGCATTGGCTACAATGAAGACCATAGATATTATCCTCTGTAACACTGACAGGCTCCACTGTGCATATTTTAACTGCTAAAATATGCAGTTATAGACATTTTTAGAGCAGATTCATGCATTATGGTACGACTAATTAGTAGAATTATGAATTAACAAACTAGAGAATAAGATGATTGTGACTCACTGGTGATTTGTGTTTCCCTTGTTGGAGGCCACAGCATCCATCTTTCCATCAGGCAGAAACCAAGAAGCTTCAAACAATCAGACGCTGTTAAAACTGTAAGTTGAATTGAAAGAAATCTTGGACTGTAAGTGTCACCATCCTCTGGTGGACCCACGTGTAATCTTTGATGCATTTACAGCGTTTTATGTTCGATATGATATTTTTAAGACTCTTCCATTCCAGTTAAATTTCCAGATTCGGTTTGGTAAAATCCACCTTTCTGTGACCCGTTTAGACGGTTGACGGTTCCTCTGTGGTAACATCTGACCAGTCTGGACTCAGAGTTCTCATTATTTCTCTCATTTATTTAACTTGAATTGAATTTTTTTAATACGTTTTGTTGAATACACCGTTTGTCTCCCGTGGTTAACCACACAATCGTCTTTTTGGATCTCGACCCACCGGTTCTGGCAGCAGCAGAGTTCAGCATGAGGTCCAGTGCGTGGTCAAGGACGCATTTCACCGACCACCAGAAACCACGGGTCGCTCTTTCTTTCCTTTTCCCAGCATGGCGGAGGAATTTATTCATCAGCTCACCAAATAAAAGCCAGAGAGACTCAGGCTGGGAGAGCGGACGTCCTGTTAGAGGAAAAATGATTATACGTTTTCTCTTGTTGACCAAAATACAACCAAACTGGGCCAAAACACTTCATTATGAATAAGTGAGACTTAAATATTACCTTCCATTTTAAAATAGAAAGGAGTATTAAAGGAAACTTTATTGATCATCTTTTAAAAATAGGGTTTAGAAAGCCAGAAGTGGTGTTCTTAGAGCTAAAAGCAGTTTGTGTCTCATCTTCAGCCGACTGCATCCAAAAATCACAGAGGATTTTTATTTATGGTTTATCAACCAATCAAGTT